GGTCCGGGTTCGACTCCTTCCGGTGCCGAACTTTTTGCTTTTTGACCTGCAGGAGCTTTACTCTTTTATTTTCCCTATGAGATCGCTCTTTGCAGATTTTTGAAGTTTTTACCGTCTTTTAAGCCATTTTCCGGCAAACACTTTAAAAATGCCATTTTCTAAAGGTTTTTAATTGCCAAGCTATTTTGGATTTTTTCCAACTTTTCCATGACTGCATGGCAACAGAAAACTAGAAAAGTTGAACCCGAGTCGCTTCAATTTCCTCTTTTCCAGTCCGCGGTCCGGAAACCCAAAACCTTTCAGGAAATTGTGCAGGGAAGGGGGTAGCCCTGCGTACTTTTCGGTTGTTCTGAGTTGCAGCGTGGAATGGGTGGGGAGAGGGGAGATGGATTTCAAAACTAAAGCTTTTGCCTCTCTCTCGGCTAAAAATAGGCCAGAGGCTATAAAGAGGTTGTGGGGCTGACGAAAAACTGGCCTCAGGGTCCGGTGACGTAACGGAAAAAAAATTTAGAAACAGAATTTTTGCAAGAAAAAGTGATGTAAGGTAGTCTTTAAAAGGACGGGGAAGGCAGGGCTATGACTTTTTGGCTACTTTTCTGTTGATTTATTTGTACGCTCACAGCAAGCCAGGCGGCGCGCCATGCGGCACACAAATACGTAACGGTACGCAACGCAGGAAGAAATACTACGCGCGATGCGGCAAATTAGGCTATAAACAAGGCTCCGCAACGCGCAAGCTCACGATTCCACTGCGTAACGAATTATGTTACGATAAAAATCCACAGCACCGCCTTGCTAGCCCCCTTAAAGAGCCGAGCAACTACCGTAACCCTCCCTCCGTTGTGGTCACTCCACAGCTGCCCTTTGAACTTTGTGTGTCATCGTGGTCATCGACTTTGCGGGGGCCAGCAGGGGGCCCTCGAAATGGTCAATGAGTCACGCTAATTGCTAGCAACGCTCTTGTTCTCGGCCTCTCTCTCTCTCTCTCGCTCTCTCTCTCTCTCTCTCTCTCTCTCTCAGCGCCACGCCCCGACACTTATTTAAAGGGGTGTGGAAGTGTGGAGAGGATTGGGTACTTGCAGATTTTGGTGGTCAATTTCTTTAAGGAAGCTTAAAAGATCTCCGCTAGTTTCTGTCTATCGTACTTTATCTGTCGCTCTCTCGTTTCTCTAAACATCTCTGCTGGCTTGCCATTTGTTCGCGTCCCGTTACAGCTATTCTTGTATTCGACTATGTATTCAATCAACATTCCAAAATGTGCCCAGCCACCTGGCTAGGGTACTGTAGTCACACAAGGGCATAAAATAGCACTGGCCATTTTGTCAAAATTGCTTGTGGCTAATAATAGTAGAGGAAGACAGTTGATCATGGTTGTAGCTTTGTTCAGGCGAGAGAGAAAAAGAGAAAGAGAGAGAGAGAGAGAGAGAGAGAGAGAGAGAGGAGCATGGCCATATGGTCGTGTTACTCTCTGTCTCTTTCTCCATTTCTCTCTCTCCTCTCTCTCTCTCTCTCTCTCTCTCTCTCTCTCTCTCTCGACTCCACGACACACCTCCTTACGACCCCTTTGGGGAAGCAGTGCTGTCATAAGCTTCATCCCCTCCCCTCGGTGTCAGCTGTGTGTGTTCGCTCAGGTTTGAGCGCTGATTTTACTAATTTCAGTCGGTCGTAGTAGTAATTGGTAATAGAGAGAAAGAGTGAGAAAGCGCGAGAGAGAGCGAGAGAGAGCGTGAGAGAGCGAGAGAGCGAGGAGAGGTGTTTTCAGACCCAAAAATGCTTTTGCCTTTTTCAAAGTTTCTATTCTTGTTTGACCTTTCTGCTGTCATGTCCTCTATTTAGTACCATATACCATTTCAAAATTAGCAAATACTGTGCCCAGAAATGCAGCAAAAACGTGTGACATTCATCGAGGCGGAGGTTGAGGAGGATGAGCCGGCTGTGGAGAGGTCGAGAGATCGTGGTTTTTCCTCCTATTCCCCGTGTGCAGACCCCTAAACTTCGCCCTCCCCCAGGACTTTACGCATTAATGGAATGTCGCATGATTTCGAAGGGTTTAAAAGGAGTGTGGCAGGTCTTTTTCTACCTCCCACGCTCCCCTAAAAAATCGGAAACCCTGTTTTTGTTGGAAACCTTTTACCTAGCGGAATACGCGGAGTGTCGCGGAAAATAGCCCCAATTCCGGAGCCGAAAACCCAATTTACATAATGACATCCGGCCGGCGTAATTGGTGCACGAGTGGCGAGCGATTAGTGAAGTGTTTTTGGCGCTTTGCCAATTTCAGGGTTGCTAGGGAGGGTTTTCTAGTCCTTAATGTTTTTTTCTAGTTTCCGTTGATTTTCGTACCGGAAATTTGCTTTTTTGCGTTTTTTACTCTTCCCTTCAAAGCCAAAAAACTTCCAGGAACTATGTTTTCAAAACAATGTCTTGCAAAAATTTTAAGATCGGAAAATATCGAAATATCGAAAATTCGCGCTAGTAAAGACCCAAATTTGGATTTTTATGGTATTTTCTACAGGTTTTAAAATGATGGTTGGGGTGCCACTGCCTCTTTAAAGTCGAACATTCCGTTTTTTTACGGTCATTTCTCAAGGTTTTTCAGGTTAAAAATTGCAGATTTAAAGCTCGCTAGGTGCCGCCATCCCTTTAAAATCCTGTCCAACTGCTGGCACGCTTCCTGTAAACCAAAGATCTTCAAAAAAATGTCCCTATGGCCCCAAAAAGCTTTTCTAAAAGTACATAGCCATATATCTCCCTTTCCTCCCGAAGTAATGTCAACATTATGATAACAAAGTGGTCTCTCGAGTGCTCTATGGCCCAATGAACGCACAGATGCACTCTTCAGTACTACTTTACGAAGGAGACAAAGCACGATTTCGACAAGTTCTCTCTCTCTCTCTCTCTTGCTCTCTCGCTCTCTCTCTGTCCCTATCCCCACCCCCGCTCTCTCGTATTGTGCCCTATTTATGTCAACATCCACCCCAGAGGGGGACTTACCTCGAAAATACGTAAAGCCCCCATAAGCACGTGAATCTTTGGAATGTGGCAATCCACAATTGTCTCTGCCAGATTACCCTGACTTAATAGTTTCCTTGAACCTTGAAAATTTAAATTTAAATTTTCTATAGATTATCTAATGGTCTTTTCCAGTTTTGTGAATTCCCAGTTCCTTTAAAGTTCAAACCTATGGATTCCCAAATAATGTTTGCTAGCTTGCCCGGCCTAGTCGAATCCCAGCTTCCCGGGCCCCTTTAAACACAAGTGTTTCCTAAAAATCTCTGCTAGCTTGCCAAACAGCCGAGGTTTCGAGTGATCTCTGCTAGATTGCCCCAACTTTTGGGGTTTCCAGGACCTGAAAATCCATAAGTTCCTTAACAAACGCTTCTCACTCTGCCGAAGCTGATGCCTACGCCCAAGCCCAAGCTCAACTATAATCCTCAAGGATGACCGCTAGCTTGCCCACCAAAAATCGCGACTTAACAATTCTCTTGACTTCACAGACCACTTAAAAATTTAACGAGCTATAGTGGTCACAGCGGGTTACGGTAGTTCTTCAGGCCCATTCAGTAGCTGTAAGACCCTAATAAACCTTAGAGCATGGATCCTCTCACGTGCTTTTACCTCCCCTTCAAGCAGGCCACACTACGGGAGCATCCACTGGACAACTAGAGAAGGGGGAGGGCCACAATTTATGGGCCATTTCTGACGGGGCTGGTTGGTGAGGAGGGCCCACCCTGCTGGCCACTACAAATTGGCAGCACAATAGCATACAAACAAAACGTCTCTGCTAGCTTGCCCTAAGTTTTTGTTCCGAAATGATCTCTGCTAGCCTGCCCCTGTCCAATACAGCAAAAAATTCCTCAAGAATCTCTGCTAGCCTACCGGTCCGGATTTTGGATCCCTAATGGTCTCTGCTAGTCTGCCACAAAATCTAAAAATTCTTTGTCCCAAAATGTCCCTGCTAGTTTGCCATGGATTCTCAAATCCAAATTCTCCACTTTCCCCAAATAATCCCTGCTAGCCTCCCCGTCCTCACTAATCTCTGCTCGTTTCCCTCATTTTACCCGGAATTTGTTGGTGGCTGGGTGCCAACTTTAGTGCCCTCCGCGGGCCCTAAAATGGAGCCCCGTGGGCCCTAAAACAAAAAGCGGCGCCACTCCACACACACGCACTACTCCCGAATCCACGGGCGGTGGGCCCTAGGCGGGGCCCTTTTTAGGGCGTTAGGGCCCAGACGTTAGGGCCCAAGCGGTGGGCAGGATGCACTCATTATGCATTTCTCTTCTCGGCCTAGGGCCCGGGATCTCCGGGATTTTTGTTGGCCATCCGAGCCCATTAATCAGGACTGGAGGGCAAAAACAAAAGGTATTTTGGCAGTAGCTGGCCCTTCCTAAAGCAGCTCTGCTAGCCAGCCCTCACCAACTGCCCGTTTTTCAAGTTCCACTCCGAAAAAGTCCCATTTTGGCCACTATCTCGGGCTCCTTTTGGACATCCCTGCGACACGTCACGATTTGGGGGGCCTCCCATAAATCTTGGTCATTTGGATGGAATGGAGGGATAGCAGGGGGTGGAAGAAGCACTAGTCTGTCCGTCCATAGGAGCGTAGTGGACGAATGCGCGAAAAGGAGCAGAGGGCCAAAGCAGAGAAGGGCCCTAAGGGGATGCATCACTGATGGGAAGGGACCCATCCTGGAAGGAGCCCGGGGGTATTAGTACCAGATTTTTTGGGTTTAAAGGGAGTGTGATAGGGTGGAGGCTTAGGCTTAGGTTAGGCTTAGATTTAAGCTCAGGCGTAGGCTTACGCTTAGGCTTCCATGCATAATACATCCATACCTATGCCTTACCGGTCCCTTTAAAAGCATCTTCCAGTCCTCCCAGATGATTGAACCTCTATCCCTTAACATTCTCTCTATCTTCCTCATGTGTTTCATTAATGCTAAAATATCCTTTAAAACTTTGTAACCCTCAAGTTATACAATTTTTTCAGCGGTTGGCTCTCCCCAGACATGAAGCAACCACTACGATCACAATCCTTTAAACACCGTGCCAAGCCCCTACCACAGGAGCCCAGGAGGTAGACATTATACCATTAATGCGTGGATACTAGAGGATACCTTCGATACTAAATACGCCAAATTCTAAATAAAGAGGCAATCTATAAAAATGATACACGTATTTTCGTATTTTTTAGAGATTCACGGTCGCCACTAGAAGATGCGAGCCAGGAACGCCGTCGCAGCACGCCGACCATCACGCGTCGCGGCTCGCTGCAAAGGTTGGTGGCTATCAGGTGACGCTTGGGATACAGTAAGCCAGGAGTCGTACAGTAACGGAATTTTGTTGTCATTTTAATTTTGAAATTCAAAATTACAAATTTTTCAAAAAATTGTAAAATACAGGGGGTCCCATAAAAAAGCACCCCTCCGGCATTTCGCCGTACTACATCGAATCGGTCCCAAAATTGGACCGGAGGTGCATCAGACCCTAAATAACCACAATCCTGAGTTATAGCCCGCCAGCTACAGTAATTTTCGAGATACAGTAACAATAAACTTTATTATCCGTTTTTCATAAGGTTTAGGTCGGAATCGACCCTTCGAATATTAAGTGAAAATGAAGCGGCAAGCGTTCTTTACCCTTAGAAATTTTTTTCCTAAGAAAATTAATTAAATAACCGTTGTTTTCAACAATTTTTGTAACCGAAAGTCACCCCCGATATTCAGCGAAATTAGGGCTTCGCAGCCGGAAGTCGATGCAAATCGATGCAAAGTCCAAAAAGATAGCCAAAAAAAAAACAGTTTAGAATCGCGTAAAAAAAATAGTATTTTGGCGATAACTCGAAAACTACTGTAGCGATGGGGCTGTAACTCAGGATTGTGGTTATTTATGGTCCGATACACCCTTGTGCAAAGTATGGGATCGATTGGATGTAAGGCGGCGAAATGCCGGAGGGGTGCTTTTTTATGGGACACCCTGTATATCATACCCTCATTGTACAGTAGCGGAAAAACCTACTTTATGGCGCTGGTATTGTCCTTAAACTCGGTATCAAAAAATTAAAATTTTGCGACGCTAAAATGTGTCAACCTCTAAAAAACGGAGTTTCTACAACGCTAAAATCCGCATAAAAATCCACCGAAAACCACGAAAGAATCGAAAAATTATTTTACGCCCCGAAATACACCGTGCCGAAAAAACTCGTAAAAACCAAAAAAATGAGGTAGATTCTCCAGGTAATATATCCAAAAAAAACACCTGAAAACCTACCTCCTAAACAATGCCTTGCCTCAAAAACCCTACCGTATCCATAATACCGTAACCCCCGTTCCGAATTCAGCCCGATGCGCCGCGGCAGTCTGCAGATCAAGTAAGGGGCGTGCGCCGTAGCCTACAGACTACACATCTACTTCTTCTTTTCTTATTTATATTTTAGCTTCTCTATGTAGCTGCCCGAATCCCCCGGCTTTTAAAGGGACCGGGAAGTCATATAAATAGCTAACCTATAGCTATCTATAACCTATTCGACTTCCCAGTCCCTTTCACGTTAATCTACCCTCGCTAAAAACTAAAAAAAAATTAAAAATATATTAATACCCCTCCTCTGCTTCCGCTACAATACTAATAACGATTTCCTGGTTTTAGGAACACTCTCTTTCTCTCACCCCTCCTACTCTCTCCCCCCTCTCTCTCACCCAAGAGTGTGTCTGGCCTAAACCCCCGCCCGTTATGCTTCTATCTAGAGTTTGCTGTAGTTTAATATAATTTTTAAATCCGTTTTTCTAGGACGAGACTCGAGCCGAGGACCGATGTGTGGCCAGAAGCTAAGCCGGCTAGCGAGGTTGGCTATATGAGAGTTTGCTGCTTTCACGTTATCGGGGGGGGGGGGGGGGGGCTTTATCAGGGGGTTCTATTATCCTAATAGACCTATCCTTAAGCGTTAAAAATAACGGATATTTGTCACACACAAAAATACCAATTTTCACCAAAATTTCGAAATCTCGAAGTTTTTAGATGGTTTTCCCCTTGAGATCTAGTCCAATTTTACTAAAAACGCAATCAAAATACTTGCTATTACGTTACTCGACAGTTCTGAACTTTAGAAAAAAAATTAGATAGCCCCGGAAAAGCTGACGAGCCCCAAATTTTGATGTCATTACTACCAAAAAATTTGCGATGTTTGCAAATTGCCGTTGTAATAAAATACTTTTAATAACTCGTTTAAAAGATAATTGAGTATGTTTTAGGTGGAAGAACGTTTCCTGAAATTGCCCGATTCCGAGGACTACACCCGCGTCCGCCAGTTCCGCATCGACGAGCGGGGCGCCGTCGTGAGCCGCGGGGACAGTTTTCGCCGTAAACGCCAAGGAGGTATATTTTTTGAACTTCAATACTTTAATGTGCTTGTTTTAAATGTTTTTATGCATAAAGTTCGCGATAAACCCTAGAAACCCACCTTTTGCAGACAAATCGCCCTCTCCGTACGCGCTGAGCGATTCGGCCCGCGATTCTCGCAGTGAGAGCGTCTCCTCCGGTGATGATCTTCAGAAGAAGGCGCCCGCCGTGCCGAGCATCACCTCAGAAAATGATGCTCCGCCGCCCGTCGCCCCAACCACCAGCCACTTTGTTTACAAGGTGTACGTCGTCGGCGATAGGGGAACTGGAAAATCGGCGCTGATCTCGCAGTTCAACTCGTCGGAGTACAAGAACGCGTTTGCCGACGAGATTGGTGAGCAATTTGAGTAAAAATGCCTATTTTTAACGTGTTTAACGTTTCGTAAATCTTATAAACGCTATTTTAGAAGTTTACGAAAACACGGTGTCGATTTGTATCGGCGGTGAGGAGTGCGATCTCGTCTTCTTCGAATCGGATATGGTGAGTTACCGAAAAATTAATTCTAAAGTTTCCAGGCTGATCCACTCTTCCTCACCGATGAAGTCTCGGCGTTTCTCGTGCTCTATTCGATCGACTCGCGCTCCTCGTTCAAGCAGGCTGTATATGGGGTGGGTTTCGAAGCGGAACAGTTTATTTGCTATTCAAAACATTACGGAAAAATAGAATAGCTTGAAAACTAGGTTAAATATATGTTTCCGCGTATTTCGTCAACTACAAAATCCTGGAAAATTACTTCTAACATTTTTCAGATGGAAATGATCCGAAATCGCCAAAATCTCCAGCACATCCCAATTTTACTCGCCGGCAACAAGGCCGACCTAGAGCGGAAGCGAGCCGTCGCCAAATCAGGTATTTATAGCTAAAGCCATGTCAACGTTTCCAGACGTGAAAGACGCGGCCAGTCGCTTCGCCTGCGAGCAGTTCGAGATCTCGGTGGCGCTGAATCACGATGTTGATGACCTGCTGGTCGGGCTGCTCGCCGAGATCAAGGAATCGTTCGGGCCGCGCGATGATAGGCAGCCGAGTATGCCGGTGAGTTATCAGTCTGAGGCAGCCTCTAAAATGTGCAAAAATACGTGGCTAAAAGATAAATATATCTGTAGACTTCGCCGCGGATCGTCGAGATGAGGGATAAGGACGACTTCAAGGCAGCTATTCGGCGTTATTCACAGCGAAAGAAGAAGGAGACGGATAATCAGGTAAAAAAAGCCATAAATAAATATCAATTTAATTATTGATAGTGGTAATATTCGACTAATAAAATCTGTATGAATTAATAAAAGAAATCCGAAAGATAAATCAGATGCCTATTTCCAGCCGACCGCCAAATGCTCGGTGCTGTCCCCATCCGGTTTCCTAAATAAACTGAAGCAATGGAAGCGAAGCGTCAGCCCGAGAATCAGCACATAGCTATGATACCCCCTCTAATAACTCACGCAATGGCCATATCCTCCTTGAATTGCGATTTCACTTTGCCCACCACAAATCGATTAAACATCGACTATCGAATAGCCCCGATCACGTGTAGCCCTATTATTACAAACAAAAATCGCCAAACAAGACCCTTGAAAGCAATGGGTTGCTGCCGAATCCCGTCCCTACCCCAGACCCCCATATTGAGTGCGTGTGTCATTTATTCGTTTATTTCTCGACCATCTTGTTGTAAATAAAGACGATTGGATCCTTTATTCAGCAATACAAAGCAAGGGGCGAGTACAAAAGGAGTTTTCGATACGCCCTACCCCGACAAACAAAGACACATAGAATATTTACAACTATAACGAAAACTCTGCTAGAAATCCCCTACAAAATTCGCTCTACTTCTTCTCCTGCTGTGCGGGGGGCTGCTGCTGCTTCAGCTCGATCTGCTCGTACCCAGACGTGATCTGGAGAAAGAGGAAATTCTTTACAAAAGATATAACTTTTCGTATAAATAGAAGAACGGTTACTGTTTTCTAATCACATCTCACAAATTTGTAAAAAAACTCCAAATTAGCTCATTTTCAAACAGAATTCCAAATTTTAAAACATTTTGGAGCTTCCCAAATAATTTTTCCATTTAGAATGCAGCTAAACATGATCAAAAGCACTACCAAATAAAACCAGAACTTACCGAGGAATTGCGGAAATTCGGGAACGCCTCCCATGGAGTCTCAAGGTCGAACCGCCTGAACTCTTGCGCCAATTCGGTCGGCTCGTAGACGATACGCCGCAGCTCGGGATCGTATCGGACCTAGAAAAGCGTACATATGAAAAGGGAACGGGCAAACCTCATTATATCCGGACAGCGGGAAATCCTTGCGGAAGGGGTGCCCCTCAAAGCCGTAATCGGTCAAGATTCGGCGCAGATCAGGGTGATTGTTGAACCAAACACCATACATGTCGTACACCTCGCGCTCGAACCTAAAGGGGGCAATAATAACAATGAGAGCAAAACGGGAAATAATTTATAATAGAAACTTACCAATCGGCTCCCGCAAAGACGCTGCAGGCGCTTTCCAACGGCGCGACTTCATCGGTGTAGGTACGCACACGGACCCTACCGTTGAAGCGCACAGAGTACAGGGCGTAGACGACCTAAGACAAGCAAATATTGACTTCGAATCGTCATACCTCGAAACGGTTCTTCCTCGTTGGCACATCAACACACGTGATGAATGTGAGGTTGGTGAATTGCGCCGAGTGGTTGCCCTTCAAGAAAGAAAGCACGGGAATCACTCCATCCGGGTGGATCAACAGCTCGAGCTCGTCGCCGGCAGCAAACTGAAAATCAGAACGTTCGGCGGGAACAATTTTAAACAAAAAAAAAACGCGTTAGATTCCCAACCTGCGCTTGCTGTACGTATTTTGGAAGACATTCAGCGGCATAGCGGCCAAAATTCGCGAGTTTTTCACGGACATTCTCGTCAATCTTCCAAATCGTTGCTAAAAAATGGTTTGGCCGCAAAATCCCAGGCAAATTACGTTTCTTGATGGATTTCTTCTCTCCGGCCGTATCTTGAGCTTGAGCGCAAATCGTTGAGGTCGAAAGAGGCGCGGCCAGTGCGGCTCGGACCAACGGAGAACCACCCAAGAGAGCCCGCTTCAGCATCCTACAATTTGTTTATGAAATTCAGTATTGAGCCATCAGAAAAAGACATGGAATGTTCAGCAAATTAGAGACCTGTCGTGCAGAGATCATAAATGAAAGGAATACAGACAGTACATTCAAAAATTTTTGTTCTAATACAAGCGAAGAAATTACAAGGTTCGCGGAACAAAGGTATCGCCGGTGATGGCCTGGTAGAGCGCTTGCTTATATTTGTGCATTGCTTCGAGCTCGTCCTGCGTCTTTGCAATTTCCTTGCGAAGATCCTCGTTGCGTGCCCTCAGTCTATCCTTATCATCGCTTGTCGTTTTCAGTTCCTCCACAATCTTCGGGACGTCCAGTGGAGCAGGAAGAATGTGGCCAGCAACGGGAGCCGTCGTCAGCCATTCAAGTCTGGCATCAAGCCCTGCTTCAAGAGCCTCTTTGTATTTCGCTGGGTAGACGCGCCGTTTTTCGCAGACTTCGGCGACCTTCTCGTCCAGTTCGCGTAACAAAAGCTGGTTCTCTTTCTCGGTGTCCTTCGCTGTAAAATTGGCCGCGTGCGCTCCACTCATTTCCTAAAAATAACGGTTGCAAGCAAGACATAACCAAGCAAGTGGAAGGAAAGCGAGAAGCTATGAAACGGATACAACCACCATGGTGGTTGCACTTGCAAGTAAGTGCGCTCGGCGAAACAGCGGCGCCGGGGCCCCACCACCACCCAGCGCACAAAGAATGAGCCACTAAGTATTGTGTCGTAATCCGAGCAAGAAAATCAGGTTCCCGAAATACTGTTAGCGATATCCCGATACCAGCCGCATCGAGAACTATCGTAGGTAGATCCCGTGATACCAACGCAATGTTTTTGTATTGCAGTACACAATGGTTAGAACAACAATTTATAACAAAAAGTGAGTAAAGTTAAATTCCTGTATTGGGTCGACATGAAGGAAGTAGAGCGAAAGCGTCAGCACTACCAGAAATTCCGGAAATGTATCACGAAATTGGTGCAACTTCCCAATCAGAATTCAAAGAGCGACATTCAACAACATTCCACAAGATTTAGTTCTGGAGATTCTGGAGAGATTCTTCGTGCACGCGAATGGCCTCTTGGACACGCTGCTTGAACAGATCCTCATCGTTGAGAAGCAGAAGCAACTCCGAGTTGTCAATTTCCAGAATCATGCCCGTGATCTTGCCAGCATCACACGACGGGAACATCTGCGTCAGCTTAGTGTGGATCGCCTCACCGAGCCTCTGCTTCTGCTCCTAAACCAAAAAATATTAAGCGTCTCAAGCAAAGATCCAACCTGCGGAGTGGCCTGAGACAAAGTCTCGAGAGAAAGGTTGTTGCCGTTGTTGAGTCCCTGTCCGCCATTGGCGTCTCCGTAATAACGCTGACGGTTTTGACCAGGGTGCTGATTGTTGTAGCGCGAGCTCCCATGCGGACCGGGACGCGGACCGAATGAACGTCGTCCTGCCATGTGGGGTGGCATGCCATGCATCGGTGGCATGTGAGGACGCTGCGGCTGCCAGCGTTGTGGATGGGAGTTCATCATGGCACCAGACATCGGCATCGCACCAAAGCCGGGGCCAGGGTTCTAAGAGAAAGTTTAGGCTGGTGGCGAAAAGACTTACGTTGATTGGATTGGCCAAGAAATAACCGGTATTGGCCGCCGGGTAGACCGACTGAGGTGGCATCACGCCGTTGTTCGTAATTCGCATGTTAGCCACGCGCAGCATGTACTGCGAGGCCAGCTGCGCACGCCGATCTTCCTTGCGCTGAGCAGGGGCCACGTACAGCAGCTTGGTCGAGATCTTTCGAGTGTTCATCTCAGAGACGGCCTTTGTGGCTTCATCGGTTTTTTCAAAGCAAACGAAGCCGAAACCCTTCGAGAGTCCGCGCTCATCGGTCATCACCTAAAGTCTATTTCCGAAACATAATATCAACAAACTTTGCAAGAGACGATGGTTCCGTACGGTTCGAAAAGGGTGCGTAGCATTTCATCGTTAACAGAGTCGTCAAGGTTCTTCACGTACAAGTTCACGCCTTGGCACGTCTGGAGTCGGCTGACTTTGCGAAGCTCAAAGCGGCGCTTCAGTTCGAGCTGGCGCTCGTGCTTCTTTTGAGCACGGCACACCTCCAGCTTGTTGTCGGTGCCCTCGAGCTGGTAGCCGTTCAGTTCAGCGCAGGCCTAAACTGGATGAGAGATGGCAAGGATAATAAAACCTTTTCGGCTGCTTCCGGGTCTTTGAACGCAACGAAGCCAAAGCCCTTGGGATTGCCATCTTGGTCCATCATGACGGCTGCGCTGGTAATTTCGCCAAATTTTCCGAACAGCTTTACGAGACCATCCTTGTCGAGGTGCGAGCCGAAGTTCTTGACAAAGACGTTCAGGAACGTAGTCGATTCGCCAAGTTCCTTCAGACGCGTCAGTCGTGGTAGGAATTTTGCGACGTAGACTTGCTTATCAGCGAGCAGCATGCCATTAACTTTCTCGATGGCCACGTTTGCATCTTTCTCATCCTCGAAATGCACAAATCCATAGCCCTTGCTTTCGCCCTTATCGTCGAGCACAACCTAGAAAAATTAGGTGGCAAAGTAGACAGTAGCCATACCTTGCAGGATAGGATAGGTCCAAACAACAGGAAAGTATCATGCAGGGCCTTGTGGTCGATAGATTTGTCAAGATTCTTGATGAAGATATTGCCGGCGCCCGAGCGACGAGTAGCCGGATCACGGTTGGACCACATGATACGAATCGGTTGACCATTGAGGTTGTCGAAGTTCATCCGCTCAAGCGCAGTTCTAGCTAAACAGGGTTGCCAGCAAGTTAAAAACAAATACCATCATCTGGTTGCTGATAGTTGACGTAAGCATATCCCAGAGATTTCCTCGTGACAGCATCGCGGAGAACGCGGATCGAGAGTATTTGGCCGGCTTGGCAAAACTTCTCATAGAGGTCCCTCTCCTGGACCTCCGGGTGCAAGTCGCCCACATACAGCGAAGCCATCGAATACGGCGCAGTGGGAACGGCGACAGCAGTCATTTCTAAAAAAAATATGAAGAAGGAAACCGAAAATTACTTTTTTTTCTTTTTTTTCTAGCCCAGTTGAGGCGCTTGTAACTCCTGAAATTGTGGGTTTCAGCAAAAAAAATAACGGGCCGGAGAGAAAGGTAAAAAAATAAGCCGCTGGAAGCAAAAAAAACCAGGGAGAGCCGGAGAAAAGACGAAATCTTGGAAATCCAGGATCCGTGCCGGGACCCGTTACGGTGTAAGGTGGTGTGGCGCGGAATCGGTTAGTTTCGAAACTCCCCCCCCCCCCAACGTTTTTCGCAAACTGGCGCACTTTTGTCCTTTCCTTCACTACAGAATCAAAATTTTTTCAAGGTTGTTTGCCGGAATTGCTGCGGGTGGACTGTATCTATCTTTATCACCGGCTCCCAACTTTCCATAAACAGATTTTATCGGCAACAAATCGATAACGCAGAATAACGATATTAGACGGAATTCCAATCAGGACAGCAAAACGGAAAATTCTATGTATGTTATTGTTATTCCATCGAGTCCTCTCCGCGCGTAGAGCGCCGTAAACGCTCCATCAGCCGGTTGTTCGCCTTTGTCAATGCTGTAGGGGTAATCGACACGCGAAGTCGCTCTGGAAATCAAATATGGCTGAACCCTATCAATTGACAGCTTTTCGACAAATGGTAAAACGAGCACAAACCTTTCAATTTTTTATCTTCGACTGTGGGTCTCTTGATTTTGACCGGGGTTGGCCTGTTGCTCGCTCGTTTGCGCTTCGTCGGGCTACTAAAGTTCACTTGGAGCTGCGCCAACACTGTACCTTTCAGACGCCGATTCTTCATCATTGATCATGCGCAATAGATCGGCTTCATCTTGATCGCTTTGATCTAAACGAAAAATACGTCGATGAAGAAAATAAAGTACCCGCTGTTTGATCCAGTTGCGGATCCTCCGGCTCCTGCGTAGCAGCACTGGTTGATGGGGCCTAATAGAATAGTTAAAAGTTTACGGATGCTATCCAACCGATACTTCGTTTGAATTCAGTGCAGTGACCTTAGTTTCCTTTATTTCTGTATAGGCGCCGGGGACTAAAGGACAATTATGATACAGGAATGAATCGATACCCATTTCCGGATCAGCGTATCTCCGGTTTCTGCTATGCTGCACCTTTCCAGAATAAGCTCGATTCTAAAAAAGATTGATGGATCAAAGACTGGCCGGACCCGAATGTCACTCCTGGTATTCTCGGACGAATTGGATTCCTTTGGCGGAGAACTGAGGGCTTCGACGGAGGATTGCATCGCGCTAAGATCATCGTATAAGGATGAGGAGAGAAAGCTTACGCTTTGATCCGTTCTAGTTGACTTGTAAAGTTGACCGCTGGATTGACCCCGGACAATACTTGCAGCTGCTAGAAAAGAATGGTGAGTTCAAGAATGGTACACCTGCCTTTAGAATCGGATCTTTCGGCAGCTGGGCCAAAAAGTTGGATGGGCCCGGATCCAGATTGTCGGAACCGACCAGCAATTCATCTTCAGAAAGCTCGAAACGGCGGTGGGTCACATAGTCATACTAAAAAAGCAACATTGAACGAAAACAGCCTTGCCCATACCGAGCTCGCGAACGGCGCTAAGACGAACGCCTTGTAAGCATGCAGCTTCAGCAGAGTCGCTACAGTATCCAGGTGATTTTCGTGCTAAAATCGAGGCGTTTCAAGGTAATAAACTACTTACAATCAACTCTCGTTGCAAACGGGTCATTTCAATCATCTGGACCGGGGTTACGCGAATCTGGAGTGCATAGTGATTATTCAAAAGGAAAAGCAAAATACCGGAACGACATAGTCAGACGGCTGCAGAAAGTAAAGTGAATAGGTGAGATAGACGCCGAAGATGCGCTCGAGCAGCTCACGCGGCTAAATAATAAAAATATGGCTCCAGAATCTATTTTAAAGCTCTTTCTTTGCTTCCAGAGGGCCGCGAACAAAGGCGATGTCAAAAGAAGCAACTACAAAATGCCCAAAAACGATACCTGCGGCTCGTCCGGATTGCCGGCGACCGCTGCGAGCTGGGTAGTATGATGACAATCCACCGGAACTCTCTCGGTAAATACAGATGGCGCCGCCGTGGGAAATGGGTGCATGTAGCTCGCCGCCATTTGGAGAAGCCGCTCGGTGAACTAAAATTGCAGTAATTGAGGGTATATTATTAAGCGTTGGGGCAATTCGATCGGCTAATAATTACCTCGACATGCTCTCCAGGATCCAAACGCCCCGCAAAGATCTTCTCGAAGTGCATTGACTAAAAAAAATAAGAATGCAGGCGCAATCTGTAGGCTATTATAACATCTCTGAAATATCCCACCCTAAAAACGGTGCGAAAATGCGCGATACGAGCCGTATTACCCTCTTGAAAACGCTTATACAGCTCCACTATGTCCTTCCGCATTCCGGTGTAGATCTAAGAAATTCAGTCAAGGGAATCGGACATTTTCTATACCGGTTCAAGAACATCTTTCGCTGGTTTCGCTCCGACCATCCTGAAATTTTTCTGGGTCCCTGATTTGAGATGCGCAACCTAACATCTAGTGTCCCGCGGTCCGGCTAATGTTCCATATAAAACCTCTGAGCCTAACAAGTTATTAGAGCTTCAACGTTCCAAAACAAGCTTTTATTGATAGAGAAACCGAAGAACAAAAGGTAGACAAGAAAAGGCGCCAGAGCCAAAAGTCAAACAGAAATATGTAATAAATATTATTAGGCAGTAGTTAGAATAGGTCGATGCCGTTGATTATTGGGTAGCAGGGAAGTCGCCAGTTTTCTAAATGCATATTTAAAAAAGCTATAAGTAAATACCTATCAGAAGAGACGCCTGGCCACGGGTGGACGTGGTGTTGGTGTCGTGCAATACTGTAGAAAATCCTCGAGCTCGGTTGGCGGTCGGGAACCAGCGGCCTAAACAAGTTTAATTTAGCTAGCAAAAGTTGAGAAGCCAGATAAAATTACCGTTTCATTATCGTTTCGATCAAAACGGAAATTGTTCAGCATTATGCGTTTGGTAGGTGGATAATGGTCGGGGCTTCTAAGTCTCTGAATTGGCTGATCCGGCTCCAACTTGAGTTTGTTCATATCCACGACGGCCTTGTCGACAATACTAAAAAACGAAGTCATTGAGGAATCAAGCAAGCTTACGCGATGATCTTCTCAGCATAATTGACACCGCGAATTTCCTTGCCCTGCAGAGTCGAAAGGAGTTTCTAGAGAGAATTTTTCGAGGCAAAAGAAAAAATCCACTCACCACGGTATCGGGGCGTTTCATAAACTTGTGCATGTTGGCAAAAGGCGTCACGTGGAATGCATCGGGGTTATCAAGCTGTTCATAGTCCATATCATAGCGCCTCAATTCCGCTGGGCCGAACTAAAAATGGTGCATTTTAAGAGTCAGAATCACCTACCATATATTTGGAGAAGGGCACCACGCGGAAGACCTCCTTCTCTTTCAGCCGACGAATACATTCCATGACATCATAGAGCTTTTCCTGAATCATAACTTTGTAAATCTTCATAAAAACACATACATCTCTTGCGTAGGCGAATAGATTCGTCACCGCATCGAGGAGCATCGGGCTCACACGGACCTAAAGGCCTTGAAATAAGCAAACGTTTAAAACCCCACCGGAAACGTGCTCTTCGTAGATTGGCTGGCATACAACGCGAAGGTGAGGTAGGCGCCATAAATTCGATCGACTATTGGACGGCTAATGAATTTTCCTCCCTATAAAATAACCGTTTTGAGAGCCGGCGATAATTTTTTCAGCAGTTAGCAAATGTTGCAAGGTTCGCAGGGTTATAGTCACCACGTAGTTTCATCCAGTTTATTATTATGGTACAAAGTTTACGCAGAAAATTCTGCCATTCGAACGTTTTTTTGCGCAAATACCGCGCCGAGAAACGGTTACGCAAGGGATTCCCGCAAAATGCCGCCATTCCCCCCCCATGTTCCCCGTTTGCCGCTTTTTCGAAAGCCAACCCAGCTACGGACCTTCAGGTGGGGCTCCCTTGCAATCATTTCCGGATCGTAGTGTTCGTGCATGTAGTTGGCAGCAATTTGTAGGAGTCTCTCGGAAAACTAAAACACAAAATTTCATTTGAAACTCTCAGCTACTCTACCTCAGCCAACTCGGCAAGCGTATCCCGTCCAGAGTAGACCAGATGCATGTTCATGTCCTGAAAAAAGGATTTGAACTCTATCTCATTGAGAAATCACTGACCTTGAAAGCGAAGTAAAATTCATCATAATTCGGTCGCCCGGCCAGCACGAACCGTTTGCGCAGCGCTTCTAGATCCTTGTGGATGCCCGCGAATAGCTATCAACAATCTCGTTGTACGAAATAAAAAAGTAACCGGGATAATCGATGTTCCTAGGCCTTTTCCCATCTGATTGATTGACGCAGGGTGTCCGTCGTCTTTCTAAAAATTTGAAAAAGGGTTATAGATCAGAGAAATTCGTTATACGGCTTAAACAGCAACAAAATTGCAATAAAATCAAACTAAAAATCAAAATTCACGACTTCAAAAATGTTAGTACGTGCGGCACCTCCCCACGAACCTACGTTCATAGGAAAAAATGGAACGGTCTGAATTAGGATTTTTCTTTTTTTCCTGATTTCGTTCAAATCTATTTGCTTTTCGTTTCGTTGTCCTCGGATTTCAAATTTTTCTTGAAAAAAACTTAAAAATTCTCATTTTCAGGACAAGATGTCCCGTATCAACATCGTCAGCGCCAATTTCATCGAGAACCCCGCCGCATTCGGCAAAGAATTCAAGCTGGAGATCACGTTCGAGGCCTTCCAGCATCTCGAAAAAGGTACGCACTTTGTAAAAGACGTTTAGACTCTTCTAGACCTAGTGTGGCAGCTGGTTTACGTCGGTAGCCCCTCGAAGAACGTGCACGACCAGATCCTCGATTCAATTTTCATCGGGCCCACGCCGGCAGGCCGTCACCAGTTCGTGCTCGATGTGAGAATGATTGGTTTTTAGTAAATTTCTTTTTTAGGCCCCCGCCCCTATTCTGTCCAAGATTCCGCAAGAAGACTTGGTTGGCGTCGCCGGGCTGCTGCTAAAGATCAAATACAACGAGCAGGAATTTATCAACCTCGGTTGGTTCGTCCGTGTGTTCTACAGCGACCCGGAAATGGAGGCCGCACCGCCAGCTGTACCACAGCCTGACCTGGTACCGTTTTCAAATGAAGTCGTATATGTTTTCAGCTGACCCGCGAAGTTATGGTGGACGATGTGCGTGTTACGAATATTCCGATCAAGTGGGGCGACGTCGAGGAAGTGATTCCCCAGTCTGACGAACCGGTATCACTATTTCGGCTTTGAAAACTTTCGCTTAGATTGCCGACGACGATATCGCCATCGATTTGACAGTGCCGGATACGGACGACGTTCAAGGAAGCGTCCAGGCTGGAGAAGGACAGGCAGAATCCGGATCTGATGAGGAGGACAGCGAGGAAGACGAGGAATCTGGCTCCGACATCGAAATCGGTTCTGACGATGTAGGCCTTTAGCTTCAATGTCAATGCTTTTGTCTTTTTCAGTCTGATGGCGAGGAAGTTGAGGAGGACGAGCAGGGAGATGAACCTGGAGCTGGAGCTGGAGATTGCGGCGATGAGGGTGATTTCGTATGACATTTGAAATCTGTTTTTCTTGTGTTTTAGCGATGGAAGTCGAGAACGCTGGTGATGCGGCCCCCACCACGGAGAAGCCGACCGAAGCGCCGGTCCAAGACGCCCTGAACGACGTGACCAATGCCTGATCATTCTCACCTATACCGGTTATGTTTTGTATGCTTTTCACTTTTCATTTCTCACATTTTCCCGAGCGCTAAATTTATGGAGAATAAACATTGCTCCTACTATAGAAAATATAAAATTGGTGTTTGGGGGGTGTTACTAGGTGCAAAATGTAGCATTTAGATCTTTACAGCGACGTACAGTCTGATCCTGAAAGAATGGCTGGCGCGGTCTTTTTTTATGTTTATTAGCCTCGATTGTTCACGTCGACCCGGAGACTGGAATACATCAAAAAATACGGTTCTTATTGACTAGGCACACTTTCCCGCAAATAAAAATACAAACATTAGTCACCGCTTGCCCAGGCATTGTTCTATTATAGAGGCTTGTTCCCAAACAGTGGCGATGAGATCAAAGGCGAATGCGATCAGAAGTGGCCGGCGGGCTGATTGGGGTCATTTGTCGCCGGTGGCCACAAATGTCGTCTCGTCCTTTTTCCTGTTATCGCCGGAGGGCTGCTCGGCCCATCCGGGACAATTGTACGTTGCTGGCACGTGTCTTGGTCTCTATCTAAAAGATTGTGGTTCTATTGATGCTGAAAGGGATCTTATCTATAACTTCACATATTTGGCCGATAACTTGACTTAACAGATGTCCTACACAACTTTTATCGACATATCAGTTAGACGTGATCTTTCTTTTTTATTCCCGATTCTCGTTCTATTTTGACTTGCGGGAGTTATTTACAAAAAAAATCCAGGATATATATACTTTCAGGGGCCGGTGGGATGCTTGGTAATTTGTTGTTGTTGTTTCTGTGTTTGTCCCAGTTAGCGCAGAGCAGCATCCCGTTCCGCCGGAAAAGCAATAAGTCACCAGGGAACCCAGTGGTGCTCAGTAAGTTTAGTTTTTATAGTTCTAAAAACTTGTTTTTAGTTCCCGGTGATGCGGGAAGTCAGCTAGAGGCTAATTTAACGGGAAAACCGGAGGTAAGATCAATCTAAATCTAAAACGACTTCTAGGGTTACAAATATAATTAATAAACCATAAAATACACTGCCGGTCATAATTTTGGCTTCACCCAAATTTTTGCGATTTTCTCGCATGGTAGCGGAACATACAGGGTGCGTCTCAAGGATAGGATTTTTGAAAGAGACTGTAAACTGTAAACCGGATTCAGGGCATCGGGAATCGGTGTTCGCAGATCCCTTGACACTCAGGTGCCTCTTTCCTTACAAAATTACCCTGGGAAACATTTGAAAAAATTTTTATTTTTTGAGTTTTTCGAGGTGGAGCCCAAATTATAACCACTTGTTAGAAGCGAAGTTTAACAAAAATTCCATTTTCGAAAAAATTAATTTGTTTCCGGAGATTTCCTTTTAAACCCAGTTTACAGTCTTTTCGACAAACCCTATCCTTGAGGCGCGTCCAGTATGCTCCGCTACCATGCAAGAAAATCGCAAAAATTTGGGAGAATTATCGCAAAATTATGACCGGCAGTGTATATAGTTTACTACAAGCAAAAACTACCTAGGTGGTGCACTACATCTGCTCGAAACTGACGCTAGACTACTTTGATTTGTGGCTGAATCTGGAGTCTTTTTCACCGGTGGCTATTGATTGCTGGGTGGACAATATGAAGTAATAATAACAATATTAAATATCGATACCTTTATCACAGGCTTGTTTACAATACCACTTCCGGGCTTTCGTCGAATATGCCAGGTGTTGATATCCGAGTGCCCGGATTTTCGGCCACCGAAACGATTGAATGGTTGGATCCAAGTAATGTAAGTTATTCTTTTATTTTTTTGAGCAATTTTTAGGCTTCAACCGGTTCATACTTTTTCACGCTTGTCGATATGATGGCCCAATGGGGGTATAAACGCGGGAAAAGCGTGGTGGCTGCCCCGTATGATTGGCGAAAAAGTCCTGGTAATTTATAGACTTTAGGAACTTTTAAATAATTATTTTAGTCGAAAACGACGGCTATTTCGTGCTTTTGAAATCGTTGATCGAGTTGACATACCGGTACAATCAAAACCAAAAGGTCATCATCCTCGCGCACTCGATGGGCAACCCAGCAATGTTGTATTTTTATAAAAATTATGTAGATCAGGTAAGCGCATTATTCAATAAAAATCACAAAAGCAAGGATCTTTAAAAGATAAGAAAATTAATGAAAAAATACGGTTTAGGCCTGGAAAGATAAATACATTCAATCGCACGTGAGCCTGGCTGCGGCGTGGGGTGGCTCGATGCAGATCATCCGGCTTTACGTTTCAGGTGGGCGTACTAGCAGAGTTTATTGAGGAAAACGAGCTCGATTTTATTTTCTACACTGAAACAATGCGTTTTAGGCTATAACATGAACTATTACCGGATTATACTACCGCCTTCAAGCCTGCGCTCTATGCAACGGTCGTTCACTTCATCGGCTTTTTTGTTTCCATCCAAGGTATCGAAAACTTAGAGTAAAAAACAAAAACAGCGTGCGAGCGTATACGTCGCGTACGAACTTTTATATAACGTTAATATCCGGAATTTTAGGCAGTCTGGGGCCCAGATGAGATACTTGCATATACGGCCGAGAAGAATTATACGGTATCCAGTGTTGGGCAGGTTTTTAGAAGATGTTTAGTTACGAGACGTCAAGGATCTGTTCTACGATGCGAATTACCCCATGGGATGGCAGCAATATAAGAAACACGCCGAGCTGCTTGGGGATTTGGATGCGCCGGGGGTTGAGGTGGGCCGAAGGGGCCATTTGGGAATAGGGGTTGGGCAGACGAGCGGAGGTTGTTTGGAAAATAAGATTTTGTAAAATTTGGTAATTTGATTGGTCCATTTGATACCTAGAATATGAGAGAGGGGGTTTTCTGAGGTAAGCCAACCTTTTCCTGTTTTATCCATTTTTTTTTATAAATAAATTGACGTTGTGTTTCTACACCGTTTTCGACTGTTACTAAGCGCACAAAAACTACAAATTGTTTTATAAAACTTAAAAATAATATAAATTTTCGACCAAAAACGCCGATTTCGAACAAAATGGTGAATTTTTAAACAATTTTTGAAGCTTTGGATAGCTTTCCATTTAAAATAGAGGGGCAGGGTCACAAAATTCATTTCAGAATTTACATGCTAAGAGGGCGGTCTAGCAGACTATTTGGGAATCTACTCGATAAGGGCAAGTTAGCAGAGATTATTTGAGCATTCCAGACCGCCCTATTAGTGCAAGTTCGGGATACGACCCATTAGGCTAACAGGGATCCTTTAGAAAAACTGGAAACTTGCAGAGATACTTTAGGAAATATCTAGTTACGTCATCTAATGATTCTTTTCAGGTGCACTGTATCTACGGTCTCGGCGTGCCCACCCCCGACTCGTTCACCTGGGCCAAGGGGTTCGGTTTTGCCTTTTTCTAGCGTTTGCGAAAGCTAATAAGGCGAAAAAATAGGGCTTATCCCCGTTTTGGAGGGAGGGCAGCGTTATCGGCTTTTGGTTGACGGATTGGATAGGGGGGCAAGTCAGAAGCCGGGCACACAGTTCAGCAACGCTAGATTCTGGTTGGCGCAGGGAGCGGAATCCAGAAAATACGGACGGACACGGGTTTACATGTGTTAAAGAGACTGGGAAGTTGAAATTTGGCTATAAATAGAGCGGAAAAATGTGCAAGTTGGCAGGGTTGTTTGGGGGACGAGCTGGTATAGCTCTCGTAAACTACCATTTTTAGGTATTTCCCAGACTACCCTCCACTTGTGACCTATGGTGATGGGGATGGTACGGTGAATAAGAAGAGCAGCGAGGTCTGCACCAGATGGAATGAGGCAAATAATCATGGGAAGAAGGTCAGAACCATCTAAATGTCATGCTCCCTTTAATCGAGTATTAAAAAATTTTATGAACAAAGACATTCCCATTTAGGTGAGCGTGCACGTGTTGCCAAACACGGAACACATGGCCATCATGCAAAGTCCGGTGGCGATAGAACTCGTTCGAAAAGTTCTCTATGGAGAGTAGGAGTCGAAGACAGTTTTCTATAAGTTAATAAAGTTTTTAAATGCAGTTACAACTTATAAAGCACAAAAAGAGACATATATAAAAATAGGGGCAAGCTAGCGGAGACCTTTAGATAAACGCGGAAAATGGCTTGAAAATGTGTTGCAGATGTTGTGTGACTTGGCCTTTGCATCACCTCTCTCTTTTGCCTAGGACAGAGAACGGGTTCTTTTTCTGGCGGTTCTGTATCCGGAGGTTTGCCCTCGACGCGTGCAAGATCACATCCGCTTTGGTTGATAAGAAGGAGGCTATAAGATGCCCCAGTTGTCTCTTCTACCGTATCCCCCAACCAGCCAGTGCCAGTGACCAGCCAGAAGATGAAGTCCTTCGCCATTCTTGCCATTGTCGCTGCTGTTGCCTTTGCTGTAAGTCTAGAAAGTTTTTAAAAAATCGCTGTTGGGTTGCTGTAGCGTTTAAAGGGCCCTTGAAGCCAGAATTCCGGTTTCCTCAACGATCTCTGCGAGTTAAAATGGAAGGTGGCTAGACATCTAGAGGTTATATTCAGTTTCTCAAATGGTCCTGGCTAGCGTCTGGGCGAGCCAGCAGAGATCATTTAGGAGAGAAGCTAAAAATTCTTCCAAAGAATCCAAAACTCTTCCCAAACCCCCCCCAAGGATCACTGCTAGCTGGCCCCAAATTTTGTGTCTTTTCAGCAACACACCCGGCCGACCCCGAACCCGTGCCAAATCTGTGAATATGTCGTTGGCCAGGCTGAGCATCGCCTCCGCGGACCCATCGACAAGGGAGAGCTCCAGGTCTTCTTGCTCGCGGTAAGTATTTTGTAGATGGTCTTATTGAACTTCTTGGTGACGTCGAGAGCCAGACAGAGATTGAAAAAGAGTGTATGAGAGCGAACCCATTTCCAGGATTGCGAGTCGTTGAGGCGATTCGAGGGCCAGGCAGCCACCGATGCCTGCATCCAATTGATCGACACCAATATTGACCTCATCTACAACGACGTCAAGAATGGTAGGTTCAGGAAAGGTTTTTATTCGATTACGTCACAAAATTCAAGTTACCATTTCAACACAATTTTCCAGGCAAGCACGCCCGCGACGTTTGCGTCGACCTGAAGCAGTGCTAGACTATGTACACACATTTTATGGAATTAAATAAAATTTTTGAAAATTAAGACCAAACTTAAAAATCAGAGGGCTGGTCTGTTCCGGAAACCGGACTTGAGGAAGGACTGGACCGAGAATCGGTTCTCACGGTTGCTCAAATAGAGTTCGGAAAATCACGATTCTGGCAGAGAATTTGGCTTGCCGGTATTCTGGCTCGTCGGGATTTTGGCCGTCGAGATTGTGGTGTGTTGGGGAATTTCCTATCCGAATTTTAGCGCTTTTCCGCTTAAATGATCTCTTCTAGACAGCCCTGTTTAAAAAACACAAATGTTGCGAAAAGCTGATTATCAAGAACAGAGAACACCCATTTGTCTGTTACTTGTGCCCGGTTTGATCAGCACCGTTTGTGTCGTGTGCGTGGTTTGGGGGCAAGGCCAAATCCGTTTGTGATAAGGGGCTCCTTTATAAAGGATTGCCAGGGGTGAAATTATCGAACATCAGTCCCTCTCTTTCTCTACACAATGAAGTCGGTCCTCATTTTCGCCGTGGTCGCTGTCATCGCTTTTGCTGTGAGTTTTTGGGGCTAAAAGTTGAATATCCAACAATCTCTGCTAGCACTCTAAGAATCGCTGCCATATGCTGCTATTTTTTCAAACGAGGAGATCTTTTCTTCAAAATTTTCTGCTAGCTTGCCTGCTAGCATTATCATCTTCCGCAAATGACCACTGCTAGGCTGCCTCAACTCGCGACTGCCCTGCTTTGATACCCTAGTATACCCTTACAACTCATATTTCTTTCAGCAACACACCCGCCCGACCCCCGGTCCATGCCAGATCTGTGAATATGTCGTTGGACAGGCTGAGCATCACCTTCATGGGCGACCGGTTGACAAGGGAGAGCTGCAGATCTTCTTGCTCGCTGTGGGTGGCGAAACGGAGAGAGACAGAGAGAGAGAGAGAGAGATAGAGATATATAAATGCTGTCATACTCCCTTTAACCCCTCTAATTTCAGGATTGCGAGTCGTTGAGGCGATTCGAGGGCCAAGTGGCTACTGATGCTTGTATCCAGTTGATCGACAACAATATGGACCTCATCTACACCGACGTGTACAACGGTAAGTAGTCTCTCTCACGCGCTCTCTCTCTCCCTCTCTCTCCATCTCTCCCTCTCTCGTACACGCTAAAAACCACATTTCAGGCAAGCACGTGCGTGATATCTGCAACGACCTGAAGCAGTGCTAAGCTTTTTTGTAAAAATGCTATATACCAGTGGTGAACTTGTAATTTTTGTATATTTTTTGTATAGAAAATAAATTTATTCCTCCTTCTCCTGGCGCAGATACAGCTAATGCTCAGAGATTATCGCAAAAGTCGGAGTTGTAGTCGGTGAAGCCGATGGCACGGTTACCGTAGTCGAGGGTCACGCATTTTTTGTACATCCTGAAAAGAAGAGGACTCTCTAATGGTCACTGCTAGCTTGCTCAGGATGAGGCTCAGGGGAGGGCTTTGATTCCCAAAGGCTCTTTGCTAGTTGGTCGAGCCTTTTTCTTCCCAAATGATCGCTGCCAGCCTACCAGACGTATCCGAAGCTCCACGATGGCAAGAAACCGCCCCCGTCCATTGGGTACAACATCAGATAGCATGGGTTTTGATCGTCTTTCTGAAAAAGTACGATAGGCTACGCTGCGCAATGGCAATTCGCGAGTGTCAACACATCATTGGGAGGTTCTATTACTGCCTCTAAAACTTACAAAGTCCTTGAAGACATAATAGTGGGAATGGACGGAGAAGAAATCGTTTGTCGTGTTAAAGTTGAGAGGGGGGAATTGCTGATCACAGCTGACCATTGGCTGGAAAAAAGGAAGGTTGCGCGGACCTTTAAAATTGGTTAGATGATTCTAATTTTTATGTTTTTCTTCTTGCTCGCTGACGGAGCGTGCGTAGCGCGTGGCGGCGCGCTGCAATCACGAAGAATCCATAGCCCATACTCACAGCTTGCTGGTCCCGTAAAAGGGACAGTTACACCGTATCCACATACCCATGGTGAACTCGGGTCCATGGTAGCATTTGTGGCAGTGTAGATGTAGTTGTACACATTCTGCGGCACTCCCGTCCTCAGCTCGTTGCTGTCCATCTTGGCGATCTGGCGCTGGGTGGAGGTGAGGTTCCCGATTTGGTAGCTGAATAGGATAGGTGGATACGGTAATTAATTTCAAAGCTACCCGGTGATGGCCCAGTTCCAGTTGTTCCTATCGACGAGGGGCACGGTTACGGTAGTGGAAAGGTTGCAGTAGGAACCGTCGATAAAACCGATCGTCATCTCGGTGAGGACCTCTTCACTGAAAATCGCAGCGGATTTATGACTTTATCAGTTCTTTAAGGCTGTGATTCTGACTTACGCATCCTTATTGAGCATGCAGTCGTGGATTACGGTGGTGAACGTCTTTTGGGAGGCGTTCGCTGCCTAAAACGGTGGATTTACTGGAGTTTGTCGTCTCTAGCTTTTGCTGTGTCTCTTCGCTCTCTGATTCTCTCCCCTTCCCCCCCCCCCCCCCCCCCCCCCCCCCCCTCTCTCTCTCTCTCTTGTCCGGGTTTGCTCTTTTTCTTGTTTCGTCATAATTTTCAATGAGGTTCCAGAGATGGTGAGCGAGAAAAAGCGAGAGAGAACGAGATAGAGAGACAGCGAGAGAGAGAGAGAGACAGAGAACAAGTCAACTAATAACCGAAGATTCATCAGAAACCGACCGCCATAACCTTCGGCAAAAACGCGTCAATATAGTCAGATGGATAGAAACCGAATCCGCATCGCCCAGTGGCGAACACGTCCGGAATATCGGCCTGTCCATTGACAGGCACAACATTCTCGACCATTCCAAAGCGCATCGGGAATCGGACTATGAATTAGAGTATACGATCGTATTTTTGGCTCTTACACTGGCTGAATCCAAAGATTTCATCTCCGATCGTTCCAGTGAGGGTGGCCGGGTTGTCGTCGACGTCGACTACGGTAGCCGCGTACGGGTAGCTGCTTTTCTTGTAGGTGGAAGAGTTTCTGAAGTAAGAAAATTCTCTCTCTCTATCTCTCTCTTTCTCACTCTCCTTCTCTCGCTCTCCGTCTCTCTCTCTCTCTCTCTCTCTCTCTCTCTCTCTCTCGCTCTCTCTCTTTCCGACTCTCTCACCTCGGTTCATACAGCCAAGGTGCCGGATTTGGCTGATTGGCCTGATAATCGATAATCCAGGTGTCGCCGGAAGAAATGTCCAATCCACAGCCGAGGAACTCTTGCGGGGCTGAAATCAAAAATGCATCCTAAATTGTTTCTGCTAGTTTGCCTGAGCTACCGTGTCCTCAAAAATCTCTGCTAGCTGGCCTTCGTCGTGGGCCGCTCTGCTACCTCCCCCCGATAACTCACGTGTTCCCATGTTGATGATGAGCTGTGGGTTGAAGACGGGCGTGATTTTTTTCGCATCTTTTCCGACTCGCCAGTTGGCATATTTGGTGCCCTTGGCGATTGTGGCCGCGCTTGGGAACTGAGATTTACAGTTTAAAGGGACCGGGAAGGCGAATACATAGCTTCTAGGTGCCTTTATAGAACTTTAACCAACCCTCATCTTGATCCTCGGACCATCTTCTTGGGCGAGGGCGGCTCCAAGGAGGATGATGGCTAATGCCACACGAATCATCCTAAAAAGGAGAGAATAGGAGATCGAAAGACAGAGAGGGGGAGAAAGAGAGAGAGAGAGAGAGAGAGAGAGAGAGAGAGAGAGAGGGAGAGAGACGGAGAGAAGGAGAGAGCAATATAAAAAGAAAATAAACAATTTTCCGCAATTATTAAAACCTAAAACCACCAATAGCTTGAAGTTACAGCAATCTTACCGTATCTCAACTCCCCTCTGACCTACAGTACTCTACAGTATACCAAAATGTTCGTCTCAACCTGCAGAACCCAGATACAGTATCCTTTAAATCCACCTAATCATGAAAAACAAAGAAATTAGAGTTTAAATACCATTCCCCCCAATTAGAATCAATGTAACAAGGTCTGGGGGCGTGTAATAGGGATGACAGCAGGGTTTCGGAAACGTTGATAAGTGATGGCCAATCTTCTCGCCCACGATTCAGGCTCGCCCATCTGCCATCTTCACAGGACCGCGCTTATCGTTGCCGAGAGTTTTGGAGGTGTTTTGCCGGCTTTTCGCCTGTATTTTACGGCAAACGGAAGGAAGGGCAGTAGCGGATGGAGAGTGCACTCTTTTTCAGGCAAATAACTACCAAGGCCAGCCCGCGTCTCTTATGATATAAGGAAGGTAGTGCCGAAACTGATCTCTCCGACACGCTGCCTCGCTCTCTCTATCTCTCTCTCTCGCTCTCTCTCTATCGCTCTCTTTATCTCTCTTTGGGGGAATTTCTATCGAATCCCGCTGTCCAGATAAATTTGCATAATTTGCATATCACTCTATAATTTCCAGTTTCCGGTAAGAGACCGGCATCGGAAATGTCCGGACTAGCGACCATTTTGACAGCCCGACCCCCTCCAGAAACCTGGCGTGATGTCTTGCGCTGTCGAGAGGTAAGTGATCCCTGAAAATCGATTTTTCATATGTAAATTACAGATTGGAGGCGGCGGAACCGGATGGGCCGATGGGGAATGTGGTAGGGATTCTAGATAGCGGATGGAATACCGTATGCCTAGATTGATGAGCCGATCGTGCCGACGGAGGCCGACAATGAGCTTGTTTGGGCATTCTATCTGGGGGCACACACTGCCGAATCGGTGAGAGAGGGAGAGAGAGAGAGAGAGAGAGAGAGAGAGAGAGAGAGAGAGAGAAAGAGACAACCCTTCTACTTTCAGGCGGAGCTGCTCGTCGAGCCGGGCGAATTCCGTCTGTACCACCAGCGACCGATGAACCGAACGATTCTGACGGAGATGCCCCTGACCCTCGTCTACCGCTCTGCCCTCCTTCAGGTTGTCGGATCCTCCCTACTCATCACCAATCCTCATTTCTAGTCTTTCCACTTCCCCGTGGTGCGTCGCGGCTCGATGTGGCGTATCCTCTACGGAGAGTCCGTGACGTGAGTCGATGTCACGATGCCTCAAACCAATTCTCTCTTGATTCAGCTGTGAATATGCCTCCTTGGCCAAGTTGGTGGAGGAGAAGAGCGTCTACGCCTACATTGACATTGCCGAGTGGGTCGAGAAGAAAATTGTCCAATTAGACTGGCACTGATCTGTTAGCGGGGGTGGGGTGGTTAACGGAGTCAAGGGAAAATAGTAATACCAGGCTGCCCCCCGTTAACGGCCCAGTACCCTTCTTTTTCAGGCCTCACCGCCCGGTGGAGTCGTTCCGTGTCCACCGCCGCCCAAAATCCTATCAAAACGTGAAAGCGGCTGGCACGACCTCTTCGGCCACCACATCGACCACCATGACGAACAGGGAGGGACACCAGTAGATGAGCAACAACACCAACAACAACAGAAAATCCATTCTATTAAATATTATTCGAATTGTGATTCAGTGAAAAATAAAGGGCACCGGTGAGAGAGAAAGCAAGAGAGAAAGAGTAAAGACATATCCTGAGGCATTACTTCTTTCATTTGTTTTTTACCTTCTGCAAACTTCGACTCCGTAAACACTTAATTCCGAAACAGCAGGTAATTTGGAGCGTCGCGTAGTTTGGAAAGAAAGAAAAGAGAGGGCGAGAGAGAAAAAGAGAGAGAGAGTGAGAGAGGCAGTGCGAAAGAGAACGAAACCTACACGACCCCGAAATTACTCATGTTTTCCATCGCACGAGTGGCTCAAAGTTCGGGGTGAAGCATGCTAATTATCGCCCAATTTTATATGTTTTTTGGAGAGAATAGTGGAGGGTAATTTATAGCCCCTGGTTCATCAGCTGCCATCCGTCGTGAAGTCACCATATTTCTCATTTAGTATTCCAAATTTCACCTGGATTTCGGCTAATAAAAGATCGGTAAGTTGCAGTTGCAGTTGCCTGATCTTTGGAGGTGGCATTTTGGCTACGGTAGCTGGGGTTGCTGAAGTTTTCACGGTGTATCTCTCGGACTCTCTGTCTCTCTTCTCTCTCTCTCTCTCTCTCTCTCTCTCTCACTCTGTCTCCCTCTCTCTCTCTCGCTCTCTCTCTCCTCTCTCTCCTCCCTCTTCTCTCCCTCTCTCTCTCTCTCTCTCTCACTCTGTCTCTCTCTCTCCTCTCTCTCTCTCTCTCTCTCTCTCTCTCTCTCTCTCTCTCTCCTCTCTCTCTCTTTCATTATGATTTCGACTTTTGAAGCCCTGCCCAATCGCCGAAATTTCAACTTCACGGACCCTTTAAAACCTCCCCAATTTCTATCCATACCGTTGCTCCGACCTCCATATCCGGAATAAACATTTCGGCCCATCCGGATTTGCCGGAAACCGGATGTCACTTGGATTTTGTGCAAACCCAACCCCTTTCATATTGTACCGCAAAAACACCTCCTTGCTCCTGACCGGAAACAAATCCGAAAGCCCTTCTCTCTCGTTCTCTGCCATCTCTCTTTTTCTCTCGCTAATCTCGTGGTGCTGCCCCGAGGGGTGTAAAGAGGTGTATAACGGAATTTACCGGGCGTATTAATCGGCTTTCCGCCACAAAACCACGGCTCTTCTGACGGCCAAAAAACGGCTCGCAACTCGCCGGATTTGATGATTTGATGATTTTGCTAGCGGCGACGTTTCTAGAACATCAATAAAAAGTCGTTTTGCCCTTCTAAAGCTGTATTTGATTTGTTCGGCTTTCCTGAAGCGGGGCAAGCTAGCGGAGATCTTTTGAGGAATTTATGCAGAGACTTGAATCTTTTGCTTCCGGCACCATTGCCGCCTCCTTGAAATGGCTATGAACTTATATGTTAGCAGGGTAGTAAAGTACATTTGATGTTGGCGACAAGGTGGCAATGAGCCATACAACATATTATAAGCTAGCAGAGAACATTGAGGAGCTTCAGAAAACGGATTTAGCCAAAATTTTCTATCTGTCATGCTACTGTATCGCGGAATTCGAGCCAAAACGCCGATAACCAAAATCTCGACAGCCAAGCCCCCGATAGGAATAATACCGACAGGCTGCATCCTGAAAACTAACATATAGACAGACGAGATCCCGACAAGCAAAATACCGACGCTTTTGACGCTAGTTTGAAACCCGCTGTCTCTTAATCAGCTATTCAACATGTCGGGATTTCGATCTGTCGGGAATATGGCAGTCCGAATTTTTGCTTTTGACTATCCGGGGTTTCACTATCGCAATTATGGATTTCGGGATTTTGGTGTCGGTATTTCGGCTGTCAGGACCTTGGTTGTATCTTGGCTGTCAAGGTTTCGGTGTTATTCTTGTAGTTTCCAAGACTTCCAAGACGCCTAAAATATGGTTGCAAAAAGCCGATATAAATGGATTTGGTCTGCCATTTAATTTTGGCCTTTTGAAAATTTTGATTGGATCCCGGTGCGAATTGGGATCCTTCTATATACCTCTACCGTTCTTCTTCCCGATCCCCTGGGGGAATGCCCGAGCTAATCCTATCCCCTCTTTTCTCTCTGCTTTCTCGATTCCGGAACCTTCTTCCATTTCATTGCTATTCACAGACACCTCGCTTCACCCCCTTCTGCCATTCCAATAATCCCCCCACCAAAAAAATGCCGAAAAAAGACAATTCCCATCGATTTGGGGGGAGAGATGCGTGCGAATGGGGGCAATCCAGAGGATAATCTGCCCCCAGCCCTTCTTTCTTTCTAGATATCTCACAAGTTCCATTTTTGGCATCTGAACCCGACGGCTAGATTTTCGGATTTCCACTTTTAAAGGAACAAGCAAGCAATTTGGGTTCCGAGGCCTTTGCCTTCACAAGACCTTTAAAAAATAAAATTCCTCGAAAACGCTATTCAAAAATCTCCGCTAAAATACTGGCTGCTGGTACGTTTCCGCAAGGACCCTCTGCTAGCTTTCCCGGAGTGCTAAATTCCGCTTCTCAAATGGTTCCTGCTAGCTTGCCCGATTGGCTCGATTTTTTTTCTTCTAAAAGAATCCTTGCTAGCTTGCCCAGCTACCTAGCCTTCCAATTCGAAAGGAATGCTGCTAGCTTCCCCTGTCCCAATTTCCCAAAAAATCGTTGCTAGCCCACCTCGACCAAAAGTTAGCAAAAATGTTTGTCTCCATTTTCACAGATCTCTGCCAGTCTGCTGTGCGTTTTCTGAAGTATTTTAGTTTGCCAATAGATCTTCCACGCTCTGGTGCCAATTTCCAAATGCTCTCTTCAAGCTTGTCGACAACTTGACTAGCACAAATTCTATCCACTCTTCTATTTCCTCAAGAAGCTCTGCTAGCTTGCCTTATCTTACCGGATTCCGATAATCTTCATTTTCGGATTCCTAAATGGTCTCTGCTAGCCTGCCTAGCCAATGAAAATGGATTCCGGCTTCTAGCTTCCAAGAATCGCTGCTAGCCTGCCGGGAAGTGCCCTCAATTCTTTCTAATCCACGTTGAAACACACTTCTTCTAACGTCTTCTCTTATTGTTGTCATCCATTTTCTTCGTGTCCCTGCATGCATTGTCACTTCTCTGTTTTTGACCTTTCCCTCATTCATCCTACACGTCTCTGTCTCTCCCCCTCCCTCTTTCTCGCTCTCTCTCTCTCTCTCTCCCTCCCTCTCTCAGGCTATAAGCCCTCCTGACGCAAATCCTTTCAATATACCGGTATATGTGGATGGGAGAGAGGGGAAAAAGATGTGGCTTTCAGGGACCCAGGGTTGGCCCCTGGTTTGTCACCACATTATTGCATTCGGTCCAGGCTGGGGGTTCGTGAAATCTCTTGCAATTGGTCTGCTAGTGGCTAGAGGGCCGCAAAACCCGAAGATTCCGGTTTGGTTCTGGCAAGATGCTAACGCTTCTAAATACAGTTTTTTTTTTGTAGCGCCGCACCTTTGAATATCGATTTTCAAAAAAATTCATTGAGAAAATTTACAATCGATATATCGACGTTTTGTCGGCATTCTGAAGCTAATTCCTCTAATTCCAAGTGTCAAAAAAAACGTCAAAAAGACTGGTTCAATAAAATTCGTCTTAAAACCAAGAATTCTCGGTAATTTGCGTTATAAAATAGCGCTGAAATTATTGCGAATTAATTAATTCATTAAACTTCTCTAAAAATTACAATCCTTAGGCCCGTTTTGAAAGCGAGTTTTCTAAACGATCGAACTACAAAAATGTTAGAACCTTGAAAAGTAAACCTTTTTTAATTCCTTCCTTACTCTATTCCTGACTCTACCCCCTGTACAGGGACGTAGCGTAAGGTGGGCCCCCTGGGCCCGGTGCCCCCCCCGAAATCGGCCGAAGGCCGAAAAAAATGGCTATTTTTTCGAAATTTTTTTTGATTTTTATCGATGTTCTCGATGTTTCCATAAAAGAAACGGCTGGAAACATAATAAAAAATGACAAGTTTAAGAATGTGACTCCTGGCAAGCGGCTCCGGCCCCGGCCCCGGACCAGGCCCCGGCCCCGGCCCAGGCCCCGGCCCCGGCCCAGGCCCCGGCCCCGGCCCAGGCCCCGGCCCCGGCCCAGGCCCCGGCCCCCGACCAAGGCCCGGCCCCCGACCAAGGCCCCGGCCAGGGCGTACGAGGGGGGGAACAGGGCAAGTGCCCCCCCAAAATCGGCTCAAAAAAGGGGGGTCCCTTATGATTTTTTCAATAAAAATTTTTCTGCCTGCGGCGCTGTTTATTACTGTTTTTAAGACGGTTTTTACTTCTTTGAAGCCTATTTTTCAAAATTTTTTTTGCCTGCGGCGCTTTTTTCATTAGTGTGTCAACTGTCCATATAAAATTTCCGCCTGCGGCGCGTTTTCTGTGATGTTTTTACATGAATTTGATCGTTGCTAACGCTTTTTCTTTATTTTTTGCGGCCTGCGGCGCTGTTATAGCTGCGATTTTTGAATCTTTTGAAAGTGGTGATCGGGGGGAGGTCGCCAAAATTTTTCGGGGCCCCCCCCGAAATTTGGCTCTAGCTACGCCCCTGCCCCTGTATAATAAAACCACAACGATCCAAGATCCTCGATCACGAAACTACAAACCCCAAAACCCACCCGCATCCACCTCAAAAAAGGTTAAACAAGCAAAAGGACATTTCCATTGATATTTAACCAATTCCCGGCGGGGGCATCCGGCTGAGATAAGTCGCGTGTTTGCATAGGTGGACAGGATCCATCCCCCTTTTTTGGTTACCCAGGGACCGCCATTCCAAAAGACGAATAATTCAAAGGCGAGTATTGCCCCGTGGAATCCCCCCACCCGTCTTCGATCGCATGACTTTTGACGGGGAGAAGGGCTGTTTGAAGGGGTGGAGATGCCCGTTCCGCCTCATTGCAAGGACGATCTCCTCTTCCCTCTACTATCCCCTCTACCCTCCACACCATTCCGCGCCCCGTTTTGCCTACACCAAAAAAAACGGGCACTGCCGCTCGGGGGCTACCTACCATTGTGTTGGTTGGCCCTGGATTTTGGGTCATTTTGGCGATTCCGTGGCGTTGTTTGGACGAAAATCGAGTCGTATACGTTAATTCTACCGTAAACATACAAATCGCCAGCCTTAAAATTTCGATTTCTATATGGCGAACCGAAAATCGGCATTTTGAAAAGTCGGAAGTATGAAAATCTATATTTTAGAGTGATTTATCCAAGAAAATCGAGAACTTAAACTTCATTACTATGACTAGTAGATCATCGTAAAATTACCTTTTTTGTGAATGTCGACTTTTCAAAAATGACCATTTTCAGTGTATGACTCGAAAACCGACATTTCGAAAAGCTGACAATAAGAAAATCGATATTTGTAAGGTTGTTTCATCAGGAAAACCCCAAGAAAATAAAATTCCAGCCTATCCATAGTAGACATTTTTTAGAAGATACCAAATTTCAACGCTATGATTTGTAAAATACCGATTTTCACGCGTTAATTTGCAAATTCAGCATTTTAAAAAGACGAAACTGTGAAAAGCATCCTTAAATTTATTTGCTCACAAAACACAAAACCGAACCTTTATTCCTATCTCCTTGAGTAGACGCTCTTTCAAAATAATTCCACGATGAAAATCGTCATTTCTAGGCGTTAATCTATGCAACATATCCAAGAAATTGAACTTCATTGCAATTTCCACTACGTTCCTAACCATCCAACCATCAACAACATCAAAACCAACCCCCCAAAACGAGGCCGAACCCGCGCTAAACCCCTAAAATCTTCCCGCCTCCACCCGCCCATTGTTTCCCACACTCACACTCACACCCCCCACGGCCATTTCCTTATCAAATACAACCAGCCGTATCCGGGCGTACCTCGTTTCGAGACTAACATCCTCCGCCCCTAACCCACCCTCCAAGCCCTCACAAACAACATTCCACAAAATTGCCCTACTCTCGCCTTCCCACGCACAACCATTGCGCACAGGCCCGTAAGAGGGGGGAGTAACGAGCCGCCCCCGAAATCGGCCGAAGGGGAAAAAAGAAAAATTATATTAGGGGGGCCCTTATGATTTCATTTTTCCAAAATTTTTTGCCTTTTTTTTTTTTTTTTTTTTTTTTTTTTTTTTTTTTTTTTTTCGGCGCTGTAGTTTTAGCCATATTAGTGAAAAATTTTTGGGGTCGCCCCCCCCGAAATTTGGGTTTGTTACGGGCCTGATTGCGCACCACAGAGCTTTTCACGCGCCTGAGACTCACTCACCGCTACGTACAGCTCGGGGCCCCCGAAAACAGACCCATAAATTGAGTCATTAGCTCGCACTCTACCAGCCGCCCCTTGATTTACGGGGCCCGCGAATAGTTTTCCAGAAACTGCGGGTTATATTGAGGTTTAGGTTTTTGTGAGTCATCTGTTCTTTTTCGCCTCTTTCAAAAGGGGCCGTTCAAAAAAACTTCTAAAGGGCAAAAGAACGTCACCAGCCATCTGCTACTGAAAAAAGCGCCAAGAGTATGATCCAGAAGCATTAGTGCGCTTTCACGTTTCATTACCGGGAATTATTAGGCCAGAAAGGTCGGGGACCCATCGGTGAAGGGCTGCGGTAACTTTCGAATGCATTCGTTGGTCATCTTGAGAGTTTTTCATGGTCATGAACTTCACCTCTACCTTTAAAATTCGTTATATAATAGTAATAACTATGTAATAATGGATAAGACTTGAAAACCATAAAACTTTCTAAAAAACAAATAGTATAAATTTCTCCGTGTGACACCTATCGACATAACTTTGTGGATAGTACTGTTTCGTACACTTTCTAAAAACTGGATTTTTCTTGTCTTGAAAAAGTAATAAAGTTAAATTTCTTTTGACGTCTTCTAAAAGAATAATAATTTGGAAAAACTTTCACTCGTGCCTTATTTAGAATCACGTTCCCAGGCTCGTTGTCGACGCGGCTCATCATCTCGCCCGCCGGCTTGTTCCCAGAAAAATACCCGGGCTTTATTGCCCCCCGGGCTTCATCAGCAGCCCATCCAAAAGCTATCGCTTTTCTCCCCCCATTAGCAACTTCCCCGGCTTTTTTCCGGGTCGTCAAGTGAATCGGATTACTTCCCGTTTTGGCAGAGCCTCTAGCCCCCTTCCCCCCGCTTACGGGATGTCCTCCAGCCCCTTCTATGCCCCGCCCACCAGACCACCATCGCCTACCACCATCCAGCCCCTCTGCCTCGATTCATACTCTAGTATTTTGACCCCAACCAAGGCTTTTTCTGGAAATCTCGGATGATAGCCCTCTGGCGTCGGAGCGCGGCTTCAATCTATTCTGGGGCATCGCGATTAATGTTTGATTTGCTTGTAGGGCTTTCAGAAAATGGAGGAGCGATGTTTACGTCCTTTTCGAAGATATGATACGTTTTTTGGGATTAATAGAGGGAATCAATTAATATAATCCCTATCATTGCTAAACCGAGCCGAATTTGTATAATTCCAGCTGCTTTAGGGCTTTCAGAAAATGGATGAGTGATATCTGCTGCTTTGAAAAAAGATAGAACGTTTTGCGCGATTTTATAGAGGAAATCAACTAATGTAATTCATGTCATTGCTAAACTCAGCCCACATGTCCAACTCCAGCGGCTTCTAGGGCTTTCAGAAATTTTCGGCATTCAACGAGCTATTTTTTCAGCCATCAGCCATTTTCTTGCTATTTTAGCTAGTTTACAAGGCTAACGTCTAGGAAGATCCTAGCTAATCCTTTCGTACTTATTCAACCCCAGCCCTTTCCACCTAACGCTCCATTCCCAGCTTCTCCCAGCTGAAAACGTCTGAAGCCATTTTTAGAATTTTCATTATCCCTGCCGCGCCATATATAGCCAGGTTCAACGACGAGTTTGCCAACTTGGGTTCCTTTTAGGGCCCGTGCCCCGAAAAACGTTCAACCCGAAATAGAGACCTCCGTTTCGGGTTGCTCTCACCTCAGTTTACATTGGCTTTCAGTGGGTAGCCTAGAAGCGTTATTCTAGTTGTCGACGCGTGATGTCCACGTTTTTATGTAGATTTTTCGCTTTCTGGACTCCATTTTTATCAATTAAAAAATATTTTCCCGGAAAGCTCAGGTGTCCTGATATACGTTGGAAAATTTAACTTACTGGATTTCTCTCAAAACTCTATTGCTCCCTGATCGCTCAGGAATTATTCAATAATTTTTTTTATTCCAGGAATGGGCATCCAATGCCATCCACACTGCCACCACCCACTCCCCAACATCGGCACCGCCCGCATCAAGACCGAATTTTCGATGTGCGCGGGACCGCCGGAATTTCGCGTCAACGTTCGGGTGAGGATTTGGGTTTTGGAAAATCTGGTCCGGGAAATCCAACTTTCGCAATCGTCGTCATTTTGGTATACTTGATGCCTGATCTGCTTGCAGACTGCGCCCCTTTAATTTAATTTCCCCCTGGCATTTTTTTGCGCTCATCCAGCAGGCTTTTGGCGTTCTGCTAGCCTTTTTCACCGGTCTTCAACCCCCCTGCTAGGTTGTCAGGGCTTCCAATTTTGGGTGTGTGGCTGTGACAACATTTCCGGGTCCTTCTGGATTAGTGGGGAGCTCTAAAAAACTGGGGCCTCCCTTGGTGGCACGTTTTTGGGCTTAGAAGCACCGGTGAGGCCATTCTGAGGGTTGGACCAGGTGTACGGTAACCTAATTCGGTGGTATGCTTGTATTTGCTAGGGGAATTAGGGGAACCTCGACGGTGGGGCTTTCGGCATCTTCCGTGGTGTCAAGGGTCCATCGCGGGGGTGCGGCCCTAATTGGATAAAGCCCGAGGAAGGAAATGTGTTGCGCCACCGGGTCTCGTCACTATTTGCCGATCAGCTTGAGGTTTTTGGTGTTGCACCTGGGAAGAGTTGAATTTTTCGGGATCTGGCTGGTTAGCGGGGGGACTTCTTTTATTCAGCCTGATTTCTTTTAGTGAAAAATAGACTTTTTATAGGGTTTTTAGTAGTTTCTCTACCGAGCGAGAATTTTAAAAACTTGAATAGCTTGATCATTTTAGACGGCAGAGAGAGGCGTAGCGGGTGGGCCCCGTTGGGGCCCCGCAACCGGGGCCGAGGAAAAATTTCATAAGGGGGCCCTTATGATTTTTATTTTCTCACAAATTTTGCTGCCTGCGGCGCTATTTTTTCACGTTTTTACTGCTATTTGTAGAGCTACATAGCCTTTTTTCCAAAATTTTTCGCCTGCGGCGCTGTTTTCTCGTTAGTCTTTTGAGTTTTTCGAAAAAATTTTTTCGGGGCCCTCCCCGAAATTTTTTTTCTGGCTACGCCCCTGGACGGCAGGCCTACTTTTCAAAAATTTTAATAATTTTTTATGAGCTGTCTACCTAAAAAGTAAAAGTAAAGTACTAAACGTAAACTGCTATTAAATTAGGGTTTACTTAATTCCAAGCCGCCTAATGGCAAATAGGAAAAAATTATCCCCCCCCCCCGCTAACGGACCCGCACCTTTTTGCGTAATTTTTAAGCAGACGCGTTATTTAGCACATTATCGGCTCAATATTCCTTGCGTCTGGTCTGCCAGGGCTGCTCTTGGGTGACCCTCCTAATTGGAACACCACACACATGTTGATGTGGGCACAGCAGGGTGTCTCGCCATACTTGTTTGCCGATCGGCTCACAAAATGACACTTTCTCGACCCACCCCATCTCCACATACGGATCCCCCCTCGTCCTAGAGGGGGTCCCATATCTGTAACTCACTTTGGCGGCGAACTTCCTCCTTTCGGGCGTCCATCTGATCCGTTCGGCACCTTGTTACGACCGCTGTGCGTTCACACCTACCCGGCGGGATGAGAAAAGGCAGAAGGGGGTGTATCATTGTGTGCGGGGGTTTATAAATAGAGGGGGTAGGAAACTGCGTCACGGGTTTACAGGGCTAATGAAGTGTGAGGAGTATTTTTTTCAAAAGAGATGATTCTTTAGTTTGATATTTGGGAGCTAATCCTCGTCTAAATGTTTTTTTTTTTGGCGATAGGGATCTATTTGGAAACTATATTCTGGTTCGGCTTAGGTTTACAAGGGCTAATCTTGACTTCTAGAGGAATTTTTGATAGTAATGTTGAAATTTCAAACTATATTGTTCTTGTGTTTTATTATTTACGCTAAATAGGCTTCTTTTAGAAGAATTTATGGTCCTAAAAACTGATTTTCTAACTAAAATCCTATTTACTTTGATTTTTTTTATGCCATATAATCTTCTTTGAGATAAATCTTTGGTAATATTTTTTATCCCACGAACAACCTTATGGTTAGTCACTCATTCTACCCTTCTTTTTCGCACCAGACAGCTTTAGCAGGCCACCAGTACACTTTTTACTGTTGCCAAAATCCAGCGCCATCATCACTCGCCCGTCTAAACCGGGTGGATTTGGCGCATGTGCCGCTCGAGGGGCCCGATATTGCGCAACTGGTCCCAGCCTAATTGTGGTCATTTTTTGGGGGCTGACCCGGGTGGGGGCGCCGATTTATGGGGGATGGAGATCGTCTCGGCACCTGCCTCGCCCGGTGGCCTTGCCTGGAGGATTAATAGATGGCGCGACGAGATGCTCTGCCAGTGGCACCGGAATCAAGAATTGGTGGCACTGCTCGGGGAAATCATCGACTTTGGTTGTCAGCTGTCCGTATAAGAAGCCAATTATGTGCAACCGTCAATCAGCCATTTTTTCAAAATACTGCTTTTAGACGCAATACGCTAAAATCTCGTTAAAATGATTAATACGCTTAAAAACCGGTTTAATTGGCTCTCCTTTTCTATAGATTGCAATTGCAGCTTTCCACTGCAACTACCCATTTATGAGCCAGTTCCGTGCCTTCGCCGAGATCAGCTGACAATTGCCGGCTTGCGCATTTCTCGGGTGTCTTGTCGCAATTTGTGACCTCCCCGTGGCCCGTCAATTATTTATGGAATTTCGCACGACCGTGAAATTGAAAACAACCCCCGCGGTGCTACTGTGCGGGAGTTAAATTTTGAATTTCCTGTGAAATCAGCCCACAGCTGCTAAGGGCCATGGGAAGTTTTGCGAGATTTGAAAATTACTATTTTGGAAGGCCGTTGAGGTACAAGAAGGGAGTTGTAACTTTAGGTGGATACACAAGCAGCTAGTGCACACCGCGCCGGGTTTTATGATTTTACAACCGCACCTCGCCCTTGGTGCTCACCTTCCAGGCGATTCAGGGTTTGTAGGGTACTTTTGTATGGGCAACTGGCCCATTGTCCCTTCTGGTGCCAGCCATATGTTGAGCCCTGAGGGGGCTCGATCACCAGCAGCGGTTCCTTCCCCCTAAGGGCACTGACTGGATACTAAATTTTTTACGATCGGCCGACAACATGCGCGACGGTGATCGATGCGATCTCTCGGGGAGCATCAAAGGTCTCTGCTGCCGCATGGTTGACCCGGAGGCCCGATGATATAGGCCTGTTATAAGGTCATCGGGAGGCTGGCTGGCTGGTTCGCCCCTTTGTGCGTGGATCGTGGAACTGGTCGGAAATAGTGGAACGTCGCGGAAAGTGTGCAGAAGTTTTTTTCTGTAAAAATATTGTTGGGACGGTTGCATGCGAAAATTTTGGGCTAAACAGCACCTAATATACTTAGCGGTTTTTCCTTTCCCATTTTTGCTTCGGATCAAATTTTTCTTATATAAAAAGAACAATTGTTTCTAACATTACTATTTCTGCTTAAAAAGCTTTTAAAATGGATAAATTAGTGCGTTTTGGACCAGAATATCAACTTTTTTTGGCAATTGAAGCGTTCAGAATAGTTTTTCCCGCTTCAAAAATCACTAGTTTACCTTTACTAATAATACTTTTAAATGCTTGAATATGACTTTACTAGAGATATCTGGAAATCTTGAAAAATTCTGGCTTTTCTCAGCCATCAATCGTCATTCAAGAACTGGCCTTTCACGTTAATGTCACCCCAAAAACTCATTATCAAAAATAAATAACGCGCTCGAAATGGAATTGGCCTGCTTGGTGGTGGGCGCCGCTATATGATTCAGGTGTCCCCGCCACGGCAACATTCTTATTATGGCGGCCCACCCGGGTCGACACCCCCAAATTCGTACGGGGCCCCCCCTCCGGGTTTTGGTGATGTTTTTGTGAGTCAACAGGTACGGGAGGTCTCTACCAAGCTAGGGATTCTCCTTACGGGTACGATGGCTTGATAAGTTCTCTGGCAGGAGAGTGTCGAAAATGGCATTTTTTTGGTGTGGGGCGGGGGGATTATTTTTGCAGGAGACGTCGAATCGTCTGCAGAACTTGCTGCGGCTGCTGGAACTAATCCCTTAATTTGAGGGGTTCGTGGTCGATCTTTTCGGTGACCATCATCGGCGAAACTTTTTGGTAGAAAATGCGGGGTTTGGAAATATCGCAGGATGGCTTTTTCCTTAGGATCTAATTAATTTTTTTTTCGCTAAGTTTTGCTGTTCTTAAGCGTAAAAACGTAAATTTATTAAAATTACGAAATTTTACGATTTTCGACCAAAATTCCCCAATTTCCAGAGGTCTACATGGGTTTGGCACGTTAATAGTTTAATTTTGCTAATAAGACTATAAAAAACTTAGTATCCGGTCTCTAAGACAAAATGATGCGGAATAACCAAAAAAGGAATAGAGCGGTGTCTTGAAAGACCTTTTGCTAAAGGTGCCTTTAGGTAAAGCCATTCTCCCCGGTTTTCTATACCTCTTCAACCCCATGCCCCTCCAAATACAAGCTCATTTATCAACCCCACACACGCGTGCAGCCCATATGTTCCCCTATAGCTGGGCGCGTGGCATTAGGGGCTCAAGGACTCAGGGAAGAGTCAGTTTTCTCCACCCGCGAATGCCATTGGAATGGGCCAAGTGGCCCCAATTTGCCCCCTTCCTCCCGAGAGTGAGGGGTTCTTGGAGGGTGTGTAATGAAGTGCTTGTGCCCTCCAGTTGAGTAGCTCGGGGTTATAATGCGGAATATGTGGTGCGTGGGAAGGAGGCTCTTGTCTAGGGGTTCCCGCTGGGCTCGCGCCCTCGCACCGCATTTTGGCGGCCAGGGATCCCTGGGAATCTGACGATTTGAAATCTGAGACAGTGCGCGGGGGTGCGGATTTTCGCGGCGGGAGCCCTGTAGAGATTTTTCAAGTCAAACGAACTGAAAACTAATGGAAAAATATAGAAAATGCTGCGAAAATGAAAAGTTATATATAATGTTTCACCTATTTTAGCCGGTTTGAGCCTGTGTGTGAGCTGACGTCTTCTAAATGTTAGTAGTCGTCTTCGTACTGCAGTTGCAGCAGCTGCGAAATTTTCGGACCTATTCACACTACGATTCATCCTTTAATAAAAACGCGCACGAGAGGGGGCGAGGTGGCTAGGCTACGGGGCGCTCCAATACCCCTCGCGTAATGCATTGTTAAGCTAAGGGGTGCTATCTTTTCCACTTTCAACTGGCCATAACTTTTTTCTGAGAAGATTTCATAATCTACTTGAGTGTACAGAAAAATAGAACAGCTTCTGCTCTATCTTTTGGTCAAGGTTTCCTGAAAATCGTACACGGCAATCGGGCGCCCGGTAGGTTTGAAGTTGAAAAAAGTGAGGTACCCAAGACAACGGGTATCATAGGGAAGCTAAATGTTTGTGCATAGCGCCCCAATTGCATTTTTTTTTTGATAGACCATAGATAGCAACTATCCAATAAAGTGCAAAATCGCATCACCTTGACATCTACATCAGGCTTCAATAGAAAGTTAGTTAAAATTTTCAACTGGCTATAATACTTTTTACTGGCTGTTCTGGAATCTGCTTGAAAGCTAGGAACACAGAACAAACTTCGCTCTAGCTACCGCAACCAGTTTTAGAATGTCGTAGCGTTACGATTTTAACAGCGGTCTATTTGGATATATGCATGAGTCCGCTGTTTTTCTTCATCCATTCTGCGCGAAAGAAAGTGATAGCATGCCTCTTGATTCGTCTAGAGTAATGACATTCCATTAGGAACATTTTCCACAAAAAAGCAAAACGAAAATGCGGAGACCTGCGAACCCGGGAACCGAACCCGCGTCCCCTGTCTCGGGGCTGAACCGCCGCCTTAGACCACTACACCACACCCCGACCACCCCTCCCGTGCGCGCTCTGAAAGGCCGTGTTCAAGTATCTGAAAAACACGGAACAACGGCGGCTAGAAGGTCCGCAAAACACAATGGCCCTGGGGCTCTTTTATTCCCCTGAAAACCCTGCTGACCGCGTTTTGCTGGCCTCTCGGCGTCGTTGCAAATGCTAGGAAGGTTATGAAAGGGCCAGAATTATAGATAAAAGAATATATTCCTAATAATTTTTTCAGCACGATGTCGCGTCTACATCCGTCTTCAAGGCGCAGTCGCACGGCGTTCAGGAGATACGCAACATTGGTACGGTTGATTCGTTTACCTATGCCCTATATTTTATGGAATTTCGCGAAAAATCTGCTGGATTGCCCTGTCACCGTTTCCAATCTCTATATTTTATTTCCAGGCACTGAACACTGGCCGCTGAAGCTTGACGTCGATTTTCACCGCGTTCCGCACCTCGGAAACCACCCATCCGACCAATACTACCTGAGAGTAAGTTGCAACTTCCTCCGGGGGGGATAACGCCACTTTTTGACCTGGCAAAATGTTAATTCTTGTGATATAAGGCTGTTCGGGGCAGCGACACCACCTGCAAAAACCCAAATTATGCGCCACTTCCGCCCATTACGCCTCGCCAGGGGGAGAGCGATCAACGAAAGCGCTAGATACCGCGGATAATAGATATTCGACGAATTCTGGTGCACCCGGCTCTTCCCCCTTTTCTCGTGGCTGCTGAATCTGAATGGGGCTCTTGATTGCTAATTTCGGCCGCTGACAACGGGGGACACCTACGCTTTTTTCGAGTGGCGGGTGTGACGTAACAGAGTAGATAACCCCGAATAGAATGTTAAAGATGGAAAGGGGTTCATTTTACGTCTATTTTCAGGCATGCATCGAAACAGTGCGGACGAATCATCGTGACTGCTTCATCAATGAGACGTTCCGCGCCTCGGAGATGGAGGATTGTAATGTTGGGGGAAGAGGTTGGAAAAGGATTTATTTTTAAGTGTTTTTTTCAGCCGCTTCTCTTCCAATTCTGGTCTCTGGTGGGCTGGTGAGCCTCTTCTTCCTCTCAGCCTTTATTCTGGTGGCCGTCGTGATCCATCGGCTCTACAGAAGACTACACGGGCACCCAAATCGAAAAAGGGGCAGCTTCACCAAGCAGGTAATTTCCACGAACCATTCGTTTGAATATCATCGCACCGAATTACATCTGGCCAAATTTTATGAATGATGAAATGTGAGGTACGAAATTAAATTCGGCCGAATGTAATTCAGTGATAACGAAATATTTGCGACCTATTGATTCTATAATATCTTTAGCAGCACTCATCGCAGCTTCTACCATCCCACCAAAGCCGAAAACCGTCGCTAGACGACGATCGGTTGACGGTGATAGCGGAAGAAGAAGAGAGCGACGACGACAATCCATGCTCACCAACTTTCGACAAACCTCCACCAATCCCGCCTCACACATATGTCCTCACTGATGCCTCGTTGAGCGATGTAAGTGCATTTTTATACGTTATAGTCCTTTTGTAAAGCTCATCAATTTCTTCTTTTGCAGAAATCGTGGACGCCGCTGATCTGCTCGCCGCGCCGCGACTCCTCGTCGAGCGGATTTGGGAGCGAGCCGTTAGACGCTGGATTGGATGGGGAATGTGAGTGGTTTTTCGGGGGGCTGGCTTGATGTGAAAATGGATTCCATACATATTTTCGTAAACCAGATTAATGAAAAATCATTTTTGGGAATCGGATTTTGAAAATTGACCTTTCCGCAACGGGAATTTTGTAAAAAAATGACAGACTGTGAGTGGTGAGTGGTATCGAGAAATTAGTGCTGCTGTACGAGCAAAATTATTTTTTGTTTTCGAGTCCACATATATTTCCCTTTTTTAGTAGTCATCCCTCCACTGATCCCCTCCTCGATCCGCTCGCAGACGATGGTCACCTTCCAGCCTTCCCGGTCAACGTTGCAGACATTCCGCCCGTTAGCCAACCAAGTGTGAAGCTAGAACTTTTAGAATCGTGTCTCTTGTTATCTCTTTTAAACCTATTGTCTTGCTCATAATATACCCCGATCCACAATGCCGACGTCGCTGGTATTCCCCCCGTTGATCTCATCCCCCTCTCAATCCCCAAAATGTAATCAAATCCTTATCCCTTTGACATTTTACAATTTTTCCATTTTCGACCGAATCGGTACCCCCCCCCCCCCTCAAAAACCCCACACTGAACTTTGTGCGTCTCATTTCTCGGGTTATTCTTCGCGTGTCTCCGCCCTTAATTTTCTATGTATCTTCTATGTGTTTCGTGTGTAGTCTAATATATCGTTAGGAGTTTATTACATCTCTGGCTAGGCCGAATAGTTTGCACATCAAATAGAGGGAGATATTGGTACCCGTCAGTTTCTGACTAATTGGATGAGATTCGAAAAAAAATGTAGGATGAGGATTTCAAGAATTTGTACTGCCGGCCCGTTCCTTGCCGGGCTCGCTGGCGTAGCCCGCGTCGCTTTGGGATGAGCCGGAGAGGGGGCGCTTTTGCTCTTTCCTGAAAATTTTTATTATTTTGTGGTTTGGTCGTTGTAACTTGCATATAAGTTGTCCTGGCTTTTCGGATGCTTTTGACTAGCTGTTGCTTTAGAAGCTGTTGGCAGCAAGCGATTCTGTAGAGGGTGCCATCTTGCAGGGCTGCCTAAAGGGATATCTGGTTTTATCATCATCCCTAAAGAACTCTGCTGGTTTGGCTTATTAGAGAGGAATCTTTAGATGCGTCGTCCTTTTTCAAAACTGACCTCAAGGCTCTTCGCCGCGCCATCAGCCGCTCGTGGCCCCTGATCGGCGATGTGAACCAGTGTGAGGAGACCGTCAGATGGATGTACAGGCCCGTCTTTTCCCCTCACTTCCACCACCTCCACCTCGACAATCGGAAGCACTCGGAAATGCTTGGCTTTTGTGTTGGGGCGGGCGACGCTCGGCAGCAGCAAGATCAGCGATGAGAAGACGAACACCACGTATTCCTAAAATCACGTTAAATAACTAATTTTCCTAAAAAACAAACCTGTGATCCCTTCGGGTCCGAGTTTAGCCACCGTATGTGGGCAAAGATGAGCAGATCACGGACATCGATGCGAAGACCCTAACAAATGATAAAATCTTATGAAAAGCTGTAACCAACCTTATCCCTCAACATATCAGCGTGACTCTTGCGCACGGCGTCAATATGCGGGCTGAACTGCTCGTGGATTCGCTGCATCTCGTTCACGTATTCGGCGAGGGTTTGCATCTTTTGGAGCGCTGTTTCTACCTTAAAAATTGACGGAGAATTTCACACCGTATCCAACTGCGTACCTGTCTAGCTTCCAAACTTCCGCGTTCACATCCCGCCGCCACCGTACGTAGTAACAACGGGTACTGGACGATTCGTTGGACGGGCTTGATCATGCGCGACTCATAGGAGCAGTGCTGGGCCCCAGAACAGTTGGCAGCCTGAAAAAGTTAAAGTAGATAAGTAAGCTAGCAGAAACCTTTGCGGAAATTTCATCGTTCATACAAAAAATTGCCGGGCTCACCTCCAATTCTGCAAGCACATCCTTGCGCCCAGAGATCTCTTGCTGCAATCTGAGATACGCAGCCGCGTACTCGGCGTAGATTTTGAAGTCGGAGCACCGGTTGACGAACAGGGCGCAAACCCGAATCACGGCGTCCTAAAGACGACAAAATAGAATCAGAATAAATCAGCTAATCATACCCGAACTTGTTCCTTGGTGGCCGTGTCCTTGTCGGTGTCGCCGATGGCTTCTTCTAGGCTGTCGAGGAATGCCTCTTGTATCTTCTCGAGTCGCAGCGCTGACTCCATGGTATCACGAACCGGCCGGATGCACATGTAGGTATCGATCATCTTAAAAAATCTTATTTTCATCGTTTCAAAGCAACACGAACCTGCTTGAGCTCGTCGACATACTTTCGCTCGGTCATCAGTAGCTCTTGGATGCCCTTGTGGAGGCGATCCTCAAGACGAAGCCGGGATGAGGGAAGAGGTGCTGGTACTGTCTGCGAACGTGCCGAAGTTGTTGGCTAAAACAAGGCAAGGTTAGCTGCGAATTCATCATACAACCTGTGGTAGGGATTCAAATTCGCCGGCGAGTTGACGACGGCGCAGCCTGATTCTTCGGCCATCTCGGAGAAGTCGTTCAACTTCTGCCGCAGATGCCGCATCCTCAATGAGGAGTCCATCTACCGCCACCACCCAATCACCGACACTTGGGCCACCTGGGCAGAATGAGGCGACACCGCGAACCTGGAAAAGATAAGGTGAACCTGTAAGGACCACAACCTTCCTGGTCGCTTTCAAAACTCCCACCTCAGCCTTGATGACTCCATTATCAGTATGAGCGTAGATAGTGAGCCCCAGTCGTCCATTCTTCTTCTCCACCTCATACTCATCTCTCAACCTCATCCTCCACCTCCCATCCTCCTTCCTCAGCTCGAACAGCTGGGCATCGACGCCGAGCTTCTGGGTGGTACGGGATAGGAGCAGGGCCGGGTCTTCTGAATCGGCCGATACCATTGTTGTCTTCCCATTTGGCAGAATTATTGGGATGATGCGGGCTGGATTGCTTGTTCCAGGTGCACAGCCGAGCACTACTTCATTTGACATTGTGGAGGAGATCATTGGGTTCTGCTCGCCGATCGGGGATTGGATCACGGGGGTTAGGGCCTGGAATTTGCATTTAGGTTTTTTAGAAAATTTTAAAGAGAGAGCGAGGGAGAAGAAAATTTATAGAACTCACATCAGGGCCTCCAATCCGTACTGCTCCACCGGCCAACGCCTTCAGGTCGATGGCACGGACATCACTCGATTTACGCCACCTAAAATAGAATTTAATTTGTGGTTTTTGCGGTTCTAAAAATCAATGGCATTCACAAAAAAATCTGGTTACCGCCATTGGGGCTCGCTGAGAGTATTAGAGGAGAATTAATTTTGATCTCAAAGTGTTGGCCATTTGCCTTCGCGGTGAAGGTGAGCTAGCAGCGTAATAAAAGCTTTAGCGAGGATTTTGCTCTGGAAAACACGCAGAGATCTTTTGTGCAAAGTCCAAATACATAAGATTAAAAACTCACATTCTAAAGTTGTACAAATTGGCAAAGGCGACGTAGACGGATGGCAGCGGGCAGTCCAATATTGAGTGGCTGAGGGCACGGGGCCCAAGGAGCGCGGAGAGTGACTGAAAATGCACAAGTATTCGAAGCGTACTTCATTTATCCAAGGAACTGTGAAGGCAGCTGATACTATGAAAAGCTTTTTAGAACCCTAGGGACCCATGATTTATCAAGTCCACCCGGTTAAAGAGGTATAGCCGTCACGTCCCTTTAAATGCCAAATCCAGAGAAAGCGCGGTTCAAACTCCTGAACGCAACTACGAGACTTCCTTTCGAATGTGTTCGAGTGAAAAGGGCCAGGTAGTTCAGTCTTATTGGATATTCTCGCGGAGCCGCTCGACACCACCCCCATAAGCGGTACGCAGATTTATGGGCTTTTTGAAAGGAGAGCGAGAGAGAGAGAGAGAGAGAGAGAGAGAGAGAGAGAGAGAGGGAGAGAGAGAGAGAGAGAGAGAGAGGAAGGAAGAGATAATCTATAGACCGAGCCGCGCATCCGGGATAGAAGGCCTTGTTCTAAAGGGGCTAGCAAGGTGAGCTACGGATTTTTTTTGTTATGGATTCCCTTTCTTGAATCGCCGCGAAGCACCTTGAAAAGTACGGAATTGAAAGACAGCGCTCGTCTTCCGTTTCTGTCGCGAAAATCTGTAAAAAAATCTAGTCATAGCCGCCGTGTATCGCCAAAAAATCCGCAGACCAGACCTTGTTAGTAAAATTCTAAAATGGGACGTAAGCACCCGGCCATGGTACAGATGCGTAGGGATACCCCCCTGGCCGCGAAACGCACCCCGTGTGAACTATAGGGCTCAAATATCCCTTTAAAGGGACCGAGAAGACGGGTGAAAATGGGCCCCAACATATATGGTTGATAGTTGGCGCGACGAGAGGGGGTGGTGTGAAACCGAATCCACCCTTCTGCAATGGCTGCTTGCCCAGGGCTTTTTATAAAGAGCGAGAGAGAGAGAGAGAGAGAGAGAGAGAGAGAGAGACTTCTGGGCGGGAGTAGTAGAGAAGGGCCTTCATGCCCAATTTACGGGGGTTCGGCGAGGGTAGCCTCAAAAGGAAATCTGCCCATTCGCATCGGGGGATACCCCCGTAGGCTCCCGTTGTCGCGCACTTTTTTCCGGGGTGATCCCGCAGGACAAATTGTGGATTCGGGAGCGGTCAGGTCAAATCTTTGTGTTGAACCCGGAAAGTGTGAAGGCCAAGGGAAATGGGGGTTCTTCATATCTGAAACCCAAGGCTGTGCCATTAATGCATTATCCTCAAAAAGTCAGGGTCAACACTTGTTGTTTGGCATTTAACTTCTTTTTTAACCTTCCGAGTTCTTTTAAACGAAAATTTAGTTCTTTAATAGTGCTTTAATTCAATCAAGCCGAAATCGGTTCAAGTAACCTGATAAAATTAAAGCAAAAATTAAAATAAACCCACATCAAACCCGGGAATATGTACACGTTGAAGCGCCGCGATTCGGCATCTTAGCATCGCGTCCTTCAGAAGCGCCCTCTCCTCAGAAATCCCGCCATCTGGCTGTGGAGCTTGATCAAGACGTAACTGAAAAAGAATACTATAAATTTATATTACCGTACCTGTCCAACACGCTCGTGAATCTTTGTTCTCTGCCTTTGCAGGTAGGTGAGTGCCACCTCAGCTGATGTGGTACGGGCCAAGAGTAAAGAGGAGAGGTTTAGGATCTAACAAATCGGTTTTAAAGGAGCAATGAAGTCACCGAATCCATAAGCATCCAATTCTTACCTGCTCCAAGAAATGCAGCGCCGCATGGTCAAACTCGAACTGGAACACGGAAGGCCCGTGGCCGAGATGGATCTCACGATCCGAGGTACCACGACAAACGACGCATTCAAGCTGAAAAAAACGTGCGGATTAAAAAGCCGCGAAAACTCACCAAATCAACATTGACCAGCTGATGGTTGTAGTGGAAGGCGAGACTCAACGGGTTGACGGCAACGACGGTAGACTCGACAGGGGTCACCTGACAGAAAATGATAAGCTACGATTTTTAAAGGGACTGGGAAGGCCAGGTTATGCTCGCTACCCAAAAACACAATAACACACCTTTGCCACCACTCTCGTTCCATCGAATTGCGCAATTTGGGAGACTCGGCATGTAGCGGATTGCTGAAAAAAAAACTAAAAGAAGCAGGAATTAAATATACCGAAAAACTCATTAAATCTAATTACCTGGAATAAACCAGCGGTACTCGAATGGACGGAATCAAGGGGCGAGGCGGCAGCTACAAACGCGGCGGCATCACTGAAAAATATTTTTATAAAACAAATTTTACAGAAAAAAAGAAAATATAGTTCAAATAAAACCAATTAAAAAACTGACCGGCTCGACAATGTATTCACGGCCAACGTCCGTTGCGTCGCGTCCCGCCAGAAGACGAAGCACTCGGAGATACGCTCGACTTTTGAGCCTAAATCAGTTGATATTCAGGTAGTTTTTAACTTTTGAAAGGAACCATGAAGCCGGGAGTCCACAACCAAATTTCCACGTCTCCTTTAATCCCTTACATTTCCTTTCAAAATATCCCTTTAATTGCCTGCCCTCATAGTTCAAAACCGGGGGGCAACCATGGAGGGCGAGAAATACCCAGTGCTCACCCCCCAAAATGGCCCCACCGGGAATTTCGGCGCCTTTTCGATTCCTGCGGACGGGCCGGCAATTTGCATAACCACTCCATTACTTCTTTGCGGCTAGTGCAGGGGGATAGGAACGGAAAGAAGAGCCAGTTTGATCTCTGGATTGTTAGGGTCTCTGAAGGGCAAGCTCGCAACGGTAATTTGCGAGTTGTTTTGATCGCGCGTTAAACTCGCTTTTAGAAAAAAAGTGAACTCGCCAAAAATGAAAAAGTCGTAACACTTACCGCTGGATAGCTTGGACTCGACGACGGAGCGGCCGGCGGCAGTTGTGGCGGTGACTCGCGTACTGTCGTCAATAGTACTTGTCTGGACGGTGACATAGAGTAGTCGCGGCTCGACGAGCACCCATTTGCTCCCGTCCACCGAGAGCTCGAACAATTCCGCGTGGATACTGAAACGAAGAGATTTTTGGAGGTCTATTATACTCGTTATGATTTTTATCAAACCCCTTGCTTATAAATCCAGACACAAACTAGCTAATCTCAAAGTCCCTAGCTGGCCTTTTTCCATAAAAAACCGGCCATTCTCTGGCCAGCATGTTCAACAAGTAAGTAAATTTTCGAAAACCGAAAGGTTTCCGCGTGGATACTAGAACAAAAAATATTTTTTGAGGGCACCTTTTTATTCTATTTTCTTTTGGTCTCAGCTTCATATTAAAAACCCTAAGCCCAAAACTATACCCATTTCACAATTTGCAAAACCAGCTACCCTCCGCTCAGCCCCCGCCACCATTTTCGACAAGTTCAAGTGGTTGCGGACTACTATCGGACCGGGGGGAATGCTGTGATGTGCGTCGAATGGCAACAATCGTGTGTCCCCCTCCCCTTCTAAAGTGCCCCATTTCATCGAGTATTCACGGCACGGAAGGGCCGCCAACTTTTCCTGCTTTTTCCCGCAAGAAAAAAATGGTTTGCGGATTGTTTAAAGGGACGGAGAAGGCGAAAATAAAAATGTTCTATGGGTTCTGTCTCTGGTGGAGGAGGAAATGTGTTCCGTCGCGGAAATTGCACTTTCATTGTGTTTCCAAACTGTTTTTGCTATTCCTAAACGTAGAAACTTTACACATTTCTGTTGACCAATACAAAAATCCATCTGCAGAGTCCGAAATCCCATTAAAAAGTTTCAAAAACACTGCTAAAAGTCTAAATCTCGTCCCAAAATAAAAAAGCCCCGACGCGTTTTCAAAATACCTCCTATATCTAGCATTCGGCGACGGCTCAAAATCGGCAGCCGTGAATATCAGGGGGCACTTTTTAGGAAGTAGATCAGCGCGGCGGTGCCGCTGCTGTTTTTTCAGGCGGCGAGTGTCAAGGGGCGCCATTTTCACGAATAACTTCAGTAGCGTGGCAGCGCGTTTCGAATAGTTAGTGTCAAATAGGTGGCCAAACGAATAACGACTTCGCGCGCCTCAGAACAAATACAGTAATCCTCAAACAGAAGCGCTTGCGGGGCGCGTAGGCTCAGGCGCCAAATTATCCAGGTTGGCGTCCAGAGACCGGCGCAAATTTGAGGCAGTTAGCCGCGGGTTTTTTTTGGGAGGTAAAGGGGGGAGCAGCGCCGACTCGTGTACCGTTTCTAATAAGCCGCCCGGGAAGGCGGGCCCCGCAAACGGGAGGGTAAACAAAACTTTTTAGCGCGGGAGGCGCGCGCCTGGATGGACCTGAGCTTTTGGGGGAGTTGGGGGGTAAATGATGACCCCGGGTTTTGGGGGTGAAATGAGGTGGGTAGAATGGGGTTAACCCTGAAATTATGGAGATTTTAGGGGGGCGTGCAATGATTCGAGGGTGGCGCACTAGTGGGCGCGCGGGGGATGATGCCACAAATCCCGGACCAGTTGAACGCGGGCGCGCTGATTCACGCATCTAGTAGTAGCGGAGGGATGCGTGATAGGAAAAGCTGAGGGTGATGCGGAAGAGTTGAAACCTTAATCATTACGTCAATAATTAGCAATTCCTAACATCTAATCTTTGGAAAAACGAAGCTATGTCGTCGACCTTCTAAAAGGAAGCCCCAAAAGCAAATAAAAAAGTTTAAGTCAAAAATTTTTTTGAGATTTTTCCTTAAAACGTGGAAAAATCTGTAAATGTCTACAAGTACGTTTCTACACCATACGTTTTGTCTCAAACTGCCGTAAATTCATCAAGAACCAAAAAAATCTGAATTACGTGAATACGAGTTAAAAGCCGGCCGTTCGCAGATATTTTCGCCTTCATCCTCCATTTGAGATCTAAAGTTCAATTCTCAGTCCATTATACGGTGAATTACAGGCGAAAGCCGAGTCCGTTAAAAGCTGAATTATAAGCGAAAACGTGAAAATTTATAATTCCAATAAAATTTTGCAGTAACTATCGATAAATGCGTCTGAAAAACCAGTAAAAAAAATGAATGAAAGGAGAACACAGCTAAAATTAGGCTTTTCCAAACTATTTTTGCCCAACATTATTTATACCCCCTTCAGTTGCCGATTTTTCTGGATCAAAGGACCCACTCCACTTTCCACCCAAAGCCATCATCCCATCCGTCTAATTAGGCTGGGAATGAGCGGCAGGGGTTGTTCAAGGCCCGAAACTATGGACTCTCACTGCAGCCGGTCAAGGCCCCACCCTTCCTATCCAATACAACATACCTACAGGCGGCTTTGATCTGTCTCTGCAGTCACCCTTGGCTGACTCTCGACCACTTCACAACCCTTACTGCCCAGTGCTGCGACACCTCGACAATAGCCTCAGGGCACACACAAAAGTGAGAACGGATGGATGGGGAAGAGGAACTACACAACTGACAACGGGAATGTCCTATTTGTTACTCCGTACTCCCCGATAAGTGAGCTATTTTCGGGGTGCTTCTCTGACCGTTGAACGAGTCACTGAAAGAGCTAAAAGATGCAGTAGGGAGAAGTTGAGTGCGCAAATGTGGAAATGGGGATTTGCATTGGCTGCAATTATTAAAAGCGCAGGGCGTGACAAATCGGAAAGGGACGTCCTAAGAAAGGTATCTAAAAATTAAATCTGATCCCTTTGAAACGATTTTTACCTTTTTGTAGATACCAGATTTCTAAGAAATATTTTTGTAACCGCAATATTTAGAAACACGCTAAAATCTAAAAATAGATTAAAAAAATTACAAAATAAAAATTATTTTTTGACTGCATTCGAAAAGTAAAGTTATTCAACGTTTTTGAAACCGACTAAATGCTCCGTAAAATCATCAGTTTGCAAAGAAAACGCCGAGTTAACGCAACCCTGCACTGGCGGATTAACAAAGGGGTCTTTCGGTCAATTCCGACCAAATTATAAAAAATTATAGAAATACTACAAAGCCACCAAATTATTTTTTTAACTGGCAGATGCTGAAAAGAACTATTTCTCGCTTTACCCCCAGGCATTCAATCCCCCTATTTTTTGGTCATCTGCCAGGCCATGCTCAGATTTTTATACCCTTTTCTCGAATAACCTTTTAAAGATCCCGGCCCAACGGGACCGTTTTCAGCTCCTTGCAAATACACTCCGCTATAATGCATAGAGGCGAAATGTGTCCCGACAGCCTCTTCTCCTTATTCTCCCCTTCCAACCAAACACCCACATATGAATGCATTTTTTCGGGGCAACTGCTTCGGGGTGGGTGGAGGGGGAAAGCCCCGAAATCGCGGAAGTGATTGTCCGGCAAGAAACCCGGGCGAAGAAAAGAAGAATTCGAAGCATTCCGTACATAGTTCTGTTTGCACGAACCTCACAGAGCCCGGATTTCAGCGCCGAGCCGCCCCCAGGCCCATCACAAATAGACGCAGGGGATACGTTTTATCAGTTCAGCCGCCAAAAAATGACGTATGCGCTGTTTTTTTTTGGGGGTAAAAATAGAATACACATGTTCAAAACGAACCTCGATGTTTTCAGCGGTGGCGGATGAAGCAACATTATTTTGGCGGGGGCCACGAGGGGGATCAGACCATCTGGTCCTGCGCCGGAAATGGATTGGATGAGGCAGAAAGGCGAAAAATTTGAAAATCGAAGAAGTAGCTTTCTCACGAGAGGCAAAAAATCTGAAAATTTGAAGAAGAAGCTGAGATTAACGGATTAAGGGGGAACTGGGAAGGAAAGGTACTAACAGAAATCAAAAAGTCTGGGGAGTGTGCCGGCCCTTATCAAGTGTTTTCAGGGCCCCTCCCTTGAAGAAAGCAAATAGCTTGGGCTATAATTGGATTCGTAAAAAGATGGGAAGCAACAAATTTGAAAGTATACAGGGAAATCGGAAAAAAAGGAAAGAGCAGAGCATTCTAAATTGATTTCGAAAACCCTTCGAGACGCTATAGTCTACAGAAGTTGCTAAAGTAATCTCAAAAAATACCGCAAAAAATCACTTAAAATTTTTCAAAACTACAAAAGAAAAACAATCTCGAGAAAATTTAATAGCGTCAAAAGGTCTATAGCCACCTAGCAGTCTCAAGAAAATTTAAAAATTGCTAGAAAAATATAAATAAAAACTAAACAATTCAGAAGCGTCTTAAACGATACCATAACGTCGGCAATTTACCTAAAAGGGTTCTTAAAATTTCAAAATGTTCAGAAGCCATTGGAAAAAATTCCATATCGTCAAAAACTATGTCGCAATCCCTTTAAAATTTCAAAATTACCAGCAAGAGCAATAATAAAATCGAAACAATTTTCTAGCGTGCCAACCGGCTATCGGTATCCGTACTAGGATTTATGAAAGCTCGACTCTGCTGTCGCCGAAGCGCGGGAGTGCTCTATAATTTCCAGGGGTGACGACCGGAGAAGAGGAGGAGAGGAGGACAAGAGCCAACGGGGTGCGCGGAAAAACAATAAAACGAGAGGAATGGTCGCGGCGACTGGTGGATCGCGACGACAAGCCGCGAGTGTTCGTTCGTTCGCCGGTTCGGGGCTCTCATCATCGAGTTCCGCCGGCCGCGTCCCGAATATCCCCTCGGGGGGCATGGAAAGTGAGGACCGCTGGGGTGGGGGAGGGGGAAGGGCGGAGAGATGGAGGAGGGCATGTCCCACATCGTGCACACCAAACACACCCACCATCAAAGAGCCCAGCCAACCCCCGAAACTCCCCATTGCGATCCAAGAATCGAGCACCAAGTGCCCACTTTCAAAGGAGGGTCCGGCGAGCGAGCGATCGGCATAAAAATGGTGTAAGACAATTTGGCGCAACACCAAGCACTATTAGACCTGGGGGTTTAGAATTCAGGGATTGAGATATGTACCAGGATTTGGAGCATCCTAAAGCGAAAAGTGAGAAAAAAGGGACGTCGAGCTGTTGGCATAGAATTTTTAAATGAAGTGTGTATAAGAATGTATGAATGAATGTAAAGTATCTAAGTCCAGCAGCTTGGATCAAAGCCAGGATTCTTAATATTTAAAAAAAAATTGAAATTAAAAGCTAAAACCGGGTGTTAGAGGATTTTGAGGGACAGAGATGTGAATTCTGACTGCCCAGAACTAAATTATTCAAAGAAAATGACGCCGACTTTATGGCTTACGCCTAAAACATTCCACTCATTCCATTTCCACTCCC